ATTCTGTGTCTCCCCCTCTCTCTGCCCCTCCCCTGCTCACACTCTGTGTTTTCTGTGCCTCAGTAATAAATAAATTTTAAAAAAATTAAAAAATTAAAAAAAAAAAGACAGCTAAGCCAAGAAGACTGGCCATACTGCACATGACATATGGAAATAACACATGTATCCCACAAATACATGAAATTACAGGTACCACCATCAACTCATTGGCTCAAGCCAGAAACATGGGATTCTCCCCTGCTCAATCTTCCCAACTCACAAACCTCCATATCCCCGTGCAGTCACCAAGTCAGAAGCCTCTATCTCCTTACCATCTCTCAAATACATGAGGCACACCTTCTTCTCTGGATAAAGCTTAGCCTCTTGAGCGTGGCTCATAAGACCCTCTATGCTTGGGCCTCCGGCTCTCTGCACCCCCTCACCTTCCATCACTCTCCTTCCTACACGTGTCCTGCAACCCAGCTGTGCCTGATGGTGTACCCTTTGTAGAGGGTCAGGTTCACAGTACCAGATCTTGCCTGGAATGGCCTCTTCCATGCCTTTCTTCATCCAGCTATTCCGACTTTCCTGGAGGCTCAGGTGAGAAGCCCCATCCTCATGCACAGATTTTTGTTCCCGCCAAACTCAGCTCAGAACATATCCTCAAACTAGAGACCCTCTTTTACTATAATGATTTATTGTGAATGCGGAACTTGTTTGATTTCAAAGTCCATGGTACACATTCGGGGATACCCAAAGGGCGTTCCATAGATCTGGTGTAACAAACAAGAAAACAAGCGAGTAAAACGAATGAATGGACGAGAGGCTGCTCCTCCATCATTTCCTCCTCTGGCTGCTCACTGCTTTCAGAAGAGAAGGAGGCATTGTCTGCTTTTTATCCTACATGAGGGATTATTCCAGGAGCCACAGGGACTTGTTTGAAGTCTGGACTGAGAGAGGTCATGGTGCCAGCTGAGGCAAAGTCACGAGCTCCCCCTCCTGGGGCTCATTCTTTTGAGGCCACACAGACCAAACCATCCAGCGGGACTCTTCCTCCTCATCAGGACAGTCAGGGAGCACCAGTCTAGTGGTGACAAGGCCATTAACATTTTGTGTCCATTTGAGGGCTCGGAAACGTGCATTTAGGATAAAATGGCAGGAGGGAGTCGTCCTTAACACAACATAAAAATAAAAATTTACAAAGAAGTAGTGAAGTTCCCCATGCGTTGTGTGTTTCCCTTCTTCCCGGACCGTGCTCACTCCTCTCTGCCTCACAGCCGCCCAACCTGCAGCCTAGTGCCGGCCTCGGGAGGTTCAGCCCTCTGCGGGTTCCTCTTTCACCATCTTCCGTTTGCTCCCCTCTCCCCTACTTTCAATGCTTGATCAAAGGCTCAGGGCTACTCTAAAGGAAGAGGTCGGGTCAGATCAGGAGGAGCGCTGCTCGCGTCTGAGAAAGGGAGATGGGGCAGATATATCATCGGTAGTTATTTCTTCTTTTCTGGTCCTGCTCTTTGCCTCTGCCCACCTGGCTGCCTCTGTGGGATCCTGGCAGGGCAGGTGGAGAGCAGCTGAAGGGGTTCAGACACACTCCTCCTCTCAGCCCCGAAAGGCACCAGGCAAGGGACAGTGTTCGAGAACAAACTGCAGCCAGCGGCGGGTGAGGATGCTTAGATGACTGCAGACACAGGTAACATCGATTTGTCCTTCAGATTTCACTCAAACTCAGTTTCTCAAGTAAAAGGTTAAATTTACAATATTTGGCTCTCTCCTACTGCATTACTTCCTTAGAGCAGTGAGCACATCTGCAATTACATTTTGTTTGCTCATATTTGTACCTCCCTTCCTGGAGCGGATCCTTCCCGAGGAAGGGGACCATGTTTGTTTTGTTTACCAATTTGACAATTTGAATCCTCAGTGCCTAAGCTCTACCCTAGAACACTTTGGTACTCATTAAGGATTTTTTTGACTGGATGGATGAATCTTTCCAAATTTACCTAGTTTGCTCACCTTACACGTGAATTTACATTTTAACCTCCTAAATCTGTTTCACAAGGCTGCTTACAAAGAGGTCCTCTGAGAGTCAAACTTCAAAGGCTGTGTGTGTGTGTGTGTGTGTGTGTGTGTGTGTGCACGCGTGTGTGCACGTGTGGACATGCACCCACTGAAAAAAATGAGTAAAAGGTGCTAGGAATAACTGATATGACCAATTCACATTAAAACTTGTAAGACAAATATTGAAAAGTCAATTGTATCTTCCTAAACCAGCAACAGCTAGAGAAGATTCATAAGACCTCTTTTGGGTAAGAAAGTAACACAAGTTGGTTGGAAGACATCAAAGAACACCTATAAATGGAGAGAGATATTTTACGTTTGTGGGAAAGAAGATTTAATATCATAAAGATGTAATTCTCACCATACTGAGCTACAAAGTGGGTGCAGTTCCAATTAAAATACCATAGGATTATCTTAGAACTCAACAATCCGATTCTGAAATTTATATGGAACACCAGGAGCCCAGAATAAAGACACTTGAAAAAACACAATTGGGAGACACATCCTACCAGATATCAAGACTCATTTTAAAGCTATAATAATTGAGGCAGTATGGCATTGGAGCAGAGACAGACACAGGAAACAAGTACCAAGAAACATCCCCACGTATACCAGAAAACTGATACATGACCTGCAGATTAGAGAGGGAAAGGATGGGCTCTTCAATAAACAGGGCCGGAATGCTGGTACTTATAAAGGAAACAAACGATCACTGTTTCTTATCACACAGAAAAACCGATTTCCTATGGATTAAGGATTGATCTATGGAAGGCAACATTAACATGCTTTGATCAATAGTATCTTTAACACCTCAGGGTATGGAAAGAGCATACGCCATAAAGAAAAGCGTGGTAATTAAACTGTATTAACTCTATTAATAACTACATTCAATATACTAACTATATTGACCTCTACTTAAAATAAAAGACAAACCACAAACCCGAAGATATCTGCAACACATAAATTTGTAACAAAGGATTAGAATCCAGAATCCATCAAGATCAGTAAGAATGAGAAAGTTATAGGTCATTTCATATTAGTTCAGTATAAACTAAAATATCAGAGGGGAGTTTGAGCAAGCGTGGGAGCCATCACTTCTGTGTAAGACAACTGGCCTGACCACGAGGTGTATTCTGTGACCGGCATTCCTGTGAGGTATGTATCCATTAACCGATCAGTGTAAAAGCATTTTAAAAACCAAAAAGCAACTTGGTATATGTGCTATGCAAAAAACCTACCTTTTAAAACCCTAATACAAACGTAATTATGAACATTTACCCATTTCACTAAGAATTCTTTAGCACAACTTTTAATGGCTATATTTTAGTCATGACACAGAAACAGCCTAAGATATAACCAATCCCTACTGTTGGCCATTTAGACTGTTCGTGTGACTGTGTGTGTGTGTATAGGGTTAGGGTGTATACACACACACACACACACACATATACACATACGTACATACACACGCACATGTATATACATATATATGATAAATACTCTTGTAAGTAAATCTTTGTATACATCTCTGATTATTTAAGATAAATTCTTTTTTTTTTTTTTTTAATTTTTTTTAACGTTTATTTATTTTTGAGACAGAGAGACAGAGCATGAACAGGGGAGGGGCAGAGAGAGAGGGAGACACAGAATCCGAAACAGGCTCCAGGCTCTGAGCTGTCAGCACAAAGCCTGACGCGGGGCTTGAGCTCACAGACCGTGAGATCATGACCTGAGCCGAAGTCGGACGCTGAACCGACTGAGCCACCCAGGCGCCCCTATTTAAGATAAATTCTTAACAATGGTTTAAATGGTAGGTACCTTTAATTTGGGTTTTGCCAAATTGTTCTCTAGGAAATATTACTAATTTATAAAGCTGCACAGGACTATTATTTTTCCTCTCTTAACCTCCCCAACACTAGTTAAAAACAAGATTTGCCAGATTTATAAGTGAAAACTTGTACACTAAATTTTTAATTTGTATTGATTTAAATAGTGAGGCTGAACATTTTTTGTTTATTGTTCACTTAGTTTCTATGTGGTTTACTTAATTCTTTGCCCATTTTTCTACTTACATGCTTAAATTTTTTGATGAGACCCAAGAGTTCATAATATATTCAGGATATTGACTCCTTCTCTGCCAGGCATATTGAACTTTGTCATTTATCTTCTACTTTGGTTTAGGTTTTAAATTTTTTATATAGCCAAAGCAATCTTTTCCTTTTTGGTTCATTCTCTAATATATAATTTTTCATGTATATTTAAAGGAATTAACTCATCTCCCTTTTGTGCCCCCTACAATAAAAATGCCTCATCTAAATGAAGGCAATAGCACCTTCTTCAAAGGGTCATCGTAAATGTCAATTAAGACAACCTATACTGATATACCTTGGTTTGGTTTTTATATATATATATATATATATATAAATTTTATTTTATTTATTTTTTAATGTTTCTATTTATTTTTCAGAGAGAGAGAGAGACAAGAGAGACAGAGAGAGACAGTGGGTGGGGGAGACAGTGGGTGTGAGTGGGGGAGGGGCAGAGAGAGAGAGGGAGAGACAGAATCAGAAGCAGGCTCCAGGCTCTGAGCTGTCAGTACAGAGCCTGATGCAGGGCTTGAACTCATGAGCCGTGAGATCATTACCTGAGCTGAAATCAGACACCTAACCGCCTGAGCCACCCAAGCGCCCCTATACTGATATACTTTGCAAACAGTAAAACAATATAGAAATGTCAATTATTAGCAGCCCTCAGTACATGACAGTTATTAACATTACATGCCCATTGGACGGCAGAGTTAATAACTATATGCAGGTAACGTGAGTAGATGTATTTGGGATAATAAAGTTTGAAAAAAATCACATGGACCACAGGAGACAGACACCATGAGGGAGTACATTTCACGTCCCTCGGTGGGTTGAGGAGCGCAAACGGTCAAGACAGAAGCCCCAGAGGATACAGACGCTTACCTTACTTACTCTTCCCCTTCCTCCAACTCAGTCTCTTTGTGCACCACCACTCTTGTGACCGACATGTCGGGGTGCTGCTCTCTGGCTTCCCTGATGGCCTGTGCCAGCGCCTGCCAGAGTCAGGAGAAAGCACTGTGAGCACAGCAATGGGCTTATTCCCGGGTTGGGAAGACAGACATACGCTGATCAACTGGGATTCCATGGCAAGCAAAGATGGCTTTATTGCTTTCTTTGAGGGAGCAGGGATTTTAAGTGGGCTCATAATTCTTTTTAGAGAATGCTTCTCACTTCCCCAAATTTCCCATTTCCCCCCAGTCTTTTCAAATATACATGTACAAGAGACATGCAGACTCTGAAGCCCAGCCCCGTACTCGCCACGAGACTTGGAGAAAACAGATCTTCTCTGATCTTCATATTCTCACCTGTAACCTGAGACTAACGCTAAGGTCATGAGGATCATTTTGAGGTTCACTGTGTAGATTGGAGGAATGATGTAACAGCCTGTCTATTCACCCACGGGTACTTGCTGTCACACAGCTCAAATGCCAAGACACAGGACCAGACCAAACCAGACTAGACCACAAGCTACCCTTGTGGTTTCTCACTAGCTGTTTGAGGTAAGATGTTTGTTGAGCTGTTATGTTGCACGAAAAAGATCTATAAACTTCTAGGGCACAGAGCAATAAAAACGGTAGCAACACTGATAACGTACAATTGCAAAGTGAAAGGACAGAGAGACTACTCTTCAGCAAGTACAGGTCTCTAGTTTACAGTCGAAAACACTGAAGGCACAAAGGTCAACAGGTCGTGCTTGAGGCCATCCTGCGGCTGGGCCACAGGGCAGGAGCAAGACTGGGACGCCACTCCACTGGCTCCTAGGCTCTTCCCAGACCGCACGGTGAGAAAATGAAGTTTCTTTGTATTTTATCAGAAAGCAAGCTGCATACAAGTGTTGTGACAAAGTGGAAAGATCCTATTTTTCTGAGGGAAAGGTGTTTAAAGATGTCTTGGGGAGACAGTAAAACACCATAAAACACCACTCAAAATCTAAGAAAGAATTCTGGAACAGAAAGGGAAGCCTTCAAGGATGGAAAGCACCATATCTCATATGGACACTATGCCTTTGAAAGAAGCAGCCCAAGTTTTCCTGTTTCTCTGTCATCTGCTGAAGGGCACAACCACATTTGTTGTTTGTGATACAGTTTCTGTCAGCTGAAAGGTTACTGAACAAAACCCCGAGCCTCATTCCACACACACAGAAAGGTAAAGCTGCAAAAAAAGAAATTTGTTTTTATGCCAAAAATTTTTACACAGAAGCTTGGAAGACAGTTGAGGGTGCTCGAATTTCCACTAGGGAACAAACTGGTGACCCACCTGTGTCAGGGCAAGAGAGAACTCAACCAGGGGACTCTCCGATTTGAGCAGCCCAAGTGTTTGTCAGGTTGTGGGAGTCTGAGGTCCGGAAGGCAAGACGGGTGGGGAGAAGGGCAGCGGCTTATCTCAGAGGAGGTCAAAAATGTTTCCGTGTCTCGGGGCGCCTGGGTGGCGCAGTCGGTTAAGCGTCCGACTTCAACCAGGTCACGATCTCACGGTCCGTGAGTTTGAGCCCCGCGTCGGGCTCTGGGCTGATGGCTCAGAGCCTGGAGCCTGTTTCCGATTCTGTGTCTCCCTCTCTCTCTGCCCCTCGCCCGTTCATGCTCTGTCTCTCTCTGTCCCAAAAATAAATAAACGTTGAAAAAAAAAATTTTTTAAAAATGTTTCCGTGTCTCTATGGCTGCGATGGGAAAGGGGATGGGAGACGGGGAACAGCAGAGTGGCTCCGTATTTGTGTGTTCAGAGGGAAGTGAGAGATCAGAACAATCAAAACGGTCTACTCCATGTTGGTTTCTGGAATCCAATTTGGGAGAAGGACAGCTCTGATGGGAGCCAAACGTAGCTACAGACAACCTGTCAGATACTTTTTAATTCATGTTCCTTACACAGGTCTGCCTACATTAAACTAGTACAAATGTGAAAGGGGAAATAGAAAATGATGCCCAAGGGAAGGGAGCACGTGTGAAACATGCTTCAATGAGCAGAAAAGTAGGGAAACCAAAAACTGCTTAATCATCTTCAAGCACATTTGAAATCCATTTACCATTAGTTCCGTTCAGTCTGTAGTACCAGTGTATGAAATTAAATACTGTAAAATGTTAATTTATTATAGCAACAGTAAAGATTGTGAGAGAACTATCTCACATCATCCTGCAAAAGAAGTTATTTTATTGGAAAGAAACACACTCTGGTGGGTAACTGCAGTGTCCTATGTCCCTGGTACACAGCGGGGCATCGGGACACACACAGGTGCACCACCCACAAAGCAAGTGTCCTAAATGCATGCCTCTTTAATCTGCCAACACAAAAGAGATTCCTTTTTTTTCTATCTTGCTCCGAGGAAGGGTTTCTTTCCACTATTAAAATTCTTTTAATGTACAGAAAGGAACCGAAAAATGGGTCAATGATATTCAAGTCACTATGTGATCAGTTTCAGTTTTTGGCAGGGAAGTGATTTCACTCTAATTTTAAATACTTGCATGGTCTCATTACAGGCTAAAAGGGAGAGGGAGCTTCATCAGCTTCTGGTGACAAGCATACCAGAAGCCACAATTAAATGTACTCTAACAAGTTTATGCATTTTGGAATTAAAACATGAAAACGTTACAAAAAAGTATCTGTTCTCTTCATATGGAGTATCTGACCTTGGGTTTAAAATGGGCTGAAGCACGACATCACACCGCCAAGGTCGTGTCCCTACTGTCACACGTAAAGCTGCAGGGTTTTTTCCTAATCTAAGAGTCAGGAATAGGTGTTATTTTGGTACTTAAATTTCAGACCATGTTTTTATTATTTGCTGTTCAGAAGCAGTATTATCTAGATTTGAGTTTTCAGGTCAAAGACAAAAGAATACACATGAAATAAAGCCTGAGAGTATCCTCGAAGGGAACACGTGACATCAGAAAGTCTGAAAGGGCACAAGTTCAGTGGAGAGACAGGGTAGGAGAGACTAACCCAGTGAAGGGAAGAAATCCTTTGTCTGGGGAACTGGCAGCTTGGTTTCCACGGCATCACTCATTTTCCCGTGGAGAACAGGCACAGGTATTGTCCTCTACTAGGAATCTCTATTACAAAGTCAAGGTTCAGGGGTCAGGACAACCCGTGAACCACTGATAGCTCTCGAGGAATGAAGAAACACATTAGGAAATATGTAAGTAAAATCGTGTTTACACGGTTTTAAAAAATGTCATTTTCTTTTTAGGCATGGAAGAAAATCTCTTTGATCACATAGAGTGAGCTTTTTTTAAATGAGAAGTTTTGTCCTCTAAAATCCTCTTTCCTGAAGTTGATATTGTGCTCAAAGCTGGGTAACTAACATCTGTTCCTACTCCCCGGCCAAGATGGTCAACTAAACATTCCTTTTCCTGCGAGTTGTTATTAAGAAAACAGCTTGGTTTCCTTTAAAGTGGAGTTAAAATCACTGAGAAAATGACAAAACAAAGAGCTCCCGTCACTTGGGGGCCGCAGCCTAAAACTGAAGCCACCCTCAAAGTATCCAACAGTTCCATGCGTCACCTGGATTTTAAAGCCACGCATTCTGCTCAAGCTAACATTGGAAAGAAAGCACGATTCTTTTAAACATTTTTCTGAATCCATGTAATCTTCCACTTTGTAAGAGACCTCAGATTTCCTTCCCCCACCCCTCGATAATAGTAATGACTGGGGGAAATATCTAGTGGTAAAGAGTCCAACCTTCCTGAGGCTATAAGAAAAACACTTGATAAGTTCCTGAAAGTAGGCACAAGTCAAGCTTGGTGGCTTTTCTTACTTAGCTTTGGAAAGCCAGTGTCACTGAACTGCCATTCGTTCTTTAATCCATGATTTGACTTTAGGCCAGGCCCACATGAATACCTAATAGGTGCCGGGAATCCTCTCCATTACTTTGACTCAAAAGTGCATGTAAAGCCAGTGTGAAATAAGCAGCAAAATCCATGTTCTATGCGGGTTCAGCATCAGGCAGGCTGAAAGGACAGGCTGTGTCTAGCGTGGGAAGCATCAGTGCCACGCTGAGGACGTAGATTCTTCCAGGAGGCACTGGGAGAAGGGGAATGACACAGGGACAGGATGTGACGGTACATGCCAAACTTAGAGACGTGGTCACTTTCAGAACCAGAACTTCAGGTCTTTACCTGGTCATGATCGATGTCCGCATCTCCTGTGATCACGATGCGTTTCTCAATTCTTGTTTCAGATATTCCACCTTTCACAGTCTAAAGGGGGGAGACAGCAATCATTAAAGCATGTTTATACATAATGGGGGGAAGAGAACGGAGCACACTCAGACCTTCTGATCGTTAAGGCAACGTGCACTGAGTGGAGAAGACTGATGTTCTGGAAACACCATTTTTAAGCTCAATAGAGATTCCTATTGTTAAAGCATCTGTAAGTATTCCTCAACTGAAAGCAACTTTAAAACTAATTTATCAAGATTCAGGTGAGATTAAGATAAGACAGATGCCATGAAATCCAAACAGTTCTGTTGGGACATTCCATTACAATTTCCCTGAATTTCTTTACTCCCAAGTGGCCCACTTGTTAAAGGAGGAAAGAAGAAATAATTCTTTGGTTTATGTAGAGTTACAAGGAATGCTAACAATTTAGGTACTTGATTTAGGTTTGAGAATTGCTTGACATTATAGTTTTGACTGCTTGATTCTCGTCATACAAATCCATTTGGTAATTCTGTTCATTTGGTTTAGTGCAGTAATAAAAAAAAAAAAAGACTTGGATTTGGTTTAAGATACAGAAGGTACAGGAGGATGATATAAAGATATTCACTCAATGTTGATTTGATTACAGATTCTGCATGTGGCTGTGTCTGCTAACAAAGTCTGTGCGAATGGACATGGGGCAGGGTCCTGTGTGAACTGCCACAGAGTGACTGGCTTGGAACAAGCTAGCACAGCCTGGGACACGATAGAGGCTGAACAGATCACGTGGCTGTGACGCTGAACTATGAACAAATACCGCACAGTCCTGAGAAAGCACACACCCAACCTCTGCAACTCTGTTAAGTTATACGCTAAGTCACAAGTCATAGCACTTTAATGTAAGAACCAAGGTAATCAGTAGCCTTGATAACTGGATACTTTTTTTTTTTTAAGCTTATTTTGAGGGAGAGAGAGAGAAAATCCCAAGGAGGCTCTGCACTGTCAGCCCAGAGCCCAACATGGGGCTCAAACTCACAAACCGTGAGATCATCACCTGAGTCGGAATCAAGAGTCAGACGTTTAACCGACTGAGCCACCGAGGTGCCCCTGGATACACTTGAAAATGAGCATCAGTACCACCTTGCGTTTATGTGGCGTTTTTCAATTTACAAAGTTTCTGGTTGAAACACAGGGTGAGATAGGCATAAAAGATACATTTAAAACCTTCAAGCACTAATGAAACATGAGAGGTAGGAGCATAGGGAAACATGGGAAAATCACGCTGGAGCTAGAAATCGGAGGACGGCAGCACGCATCACAATCACCTGGAGGGCTCCTACAGCCACCGCCAGGGTTTCTGCAGATCTGGAGTGGGGCCACGGGATTCACACAGGAATGACAGCTGCTGCTAGTCTGGAGCCAGACTTTAAGAATCATTGGTCATCTGGTGTTAGAGACTGAGAGAATGATCTGGCAAAATGCTCCCTAGCCACGGTAGGAGCATCTTAAATCAATGAGGGGAAGATTCGATTACTTGAACAACTTGCTGAACATTTTGAATGACGGGTATTCATTCACTTGCTTCAGTCAGGAGGGTTGATTTGTACTTGTCAAACGTACGCCTCCACCTGGACCACATTCTCTCTCTGCTCCTGTAGCTGTCTCATGTATAGTTATTCAGGACATATTTTTACCTCCTTGTACTTTACAGAACTACATTTGTCAGTGGAGCCCAATTTCTCAGATACTTTAAATCCAAGCATTTTTACTCCACTGGCACTGTCTGCGTATTATTGTGAAGTGTGTATGGGAACAAAGAAACAATTCAGAAAAGATCCTGTTTGCAATGTACCACCACGGGCTGCTTTACCTTGGTGATGTGTGTTGTCGTCGTCGTCGACACGGACTCAGATGTGATGGTCTGTGCCGTCAGTAACGTCCCCGAGTCACCACCAGCACCGCCATCAATCTTTGGACAGTTAGGGGGAAAAATATAAAGTAACACTTAATTTCCATTATGTCGTCAGAGAAGAGCTTCCCCCCTCGCCCATCGAATGTGCATCTTTTGAAATCTTCCAGATCAGCAGGAAATGTTATCTGCCACATTTTGTAGATTTACTGAGCAGGAGGTTGGCTGGCATTCAAAGAGAGTAAACGCAAAGGCTAAACGCACGTGGAGAAGCAAAACCCTGGGAGGGAGAAAAAGGAAGAATCACATAGAAAATGGGGCTGAAAGCTACAAGGGAATCAGGAGAGAATTTGACTGAAGGCCTTTTGCAGAAGACAGAAAAAGAAACTAGAGAACCAGACAGAGAAGTTTCCACAGTGACCAGAAGTGCTGAGTTCATTGTTTTTTAAGCACAGGCAGGTAAAAACAGATAAACGTTTTCTTATTTAAGAAGCAACAGAACCTGACTGGGATAGACTAAACCTACGTGATTTGGTTATTTGCTTATCTCTAGTAGATTGTTCTAAATGACATTGTTCCTGTAATCGTTTGTTATGAGCATATATAGGGGTATGTATATTTTAACACATATGCATGCATGTTCTCTATTTATATCATATATAAATCCCCTGCATATATCTAAATAGGTTTTAACTTGTTTCCTTTGATACTAAAAATGGTAGAAAGTTCTAGAGTTTACCAGGAAAAATATGAAACAAATGAATAGCCTATGAGTATATGTGATGACCACCATTCTGGTCTCCCTTCCTGACACTGACACAAGGAAATAACCAGAAAGCCCAGAGCCTTTCTAAGTTATGGGAAAATTTCTCTCACACTTGGGTCATGCACCTGTATTTACTAGGCCTCTCACTATACTACAGACACACAAGTACATGCTCTCCTACCGCACCCATTCATAAGAAACCTGTTTTTGCTTATATGGACCTATGCACATATGTGGATAACAGATATAAAAATAATTTTGAGGAATATTTAAACACACTCAAATTAAACCTTTCAAAAAATATTTTGAGAGAGGGCCATAACCTGCCCTCCTCCCCCATGGTACAATCCGACCAAAGGACACCGAATTTCTCAGTCAAGAACGTAGTTGTACAAATTTAGAAACAGTTCCATTCTGATATGATGAACACTTTCCCCTTTTTTGTTACCATTGTGGTTAGACATCTTAATGCTTATTTCAAGTCTTTACAGAATCAATTTCTAAATCGCTACCTAAAATTAAAAACACAAGTCTGGTAATTATTTGGACACAGAGCATCATATTTACAGATCAACAACATGTCTTCAGAAAATAACCCCATGTGAAGGAGAAGCTCAGATGTGTATGTGGACTTGGCAAGCAGGAATGGGATGACTGGATCCATCTTCACGGGGGGGGGGGGGGGGAGACCTAACTTCTACCAATCCACAAATTATATCAGATCCAATAAACTTTGTTAAGACTCCCAAAATGACTTATAATAATATGAACAAGACAGGTACTGCCTGTCCTAAAATAATCGTGTGGATGCTTCCCCCTGTAATTACTGGATCACCAATAATGATCTACATTGGTGACTACAGCTCTCGGTCTCAATCTAAGAAGCAATATATAGCAAGTTAGGTAGTTGAAGCACAGTTACGAGCCGGGGATACAGAAAGCTACATTGAAGTCAGAAACACGTAAACTGGAAGACAAATGAAAACAGAAACAAAGGAAAAGAAGTCAAAGAGTCCAAATCTAGAGTTTTTGTACCTGTGGAGACTCATATGTGATGGTTTTGGTCTCAGTTTGGACAATAGGGACTTCCTTGGTGGAGATTTCTGTCCTTTGTGAGGCATCAGAAATTGTTACCATCTCTGTTTTTACCACTGGTGGCTGAGGTGGAAAGGAAGGGAAAAGTAAATTCTAGAGGTAATGAAGTAAAAGTGTTTAATGGAGCCTTCAAAAATAATTGGAAAAAAATATCCAAACACGCACTCATGCACAAGAGTATAGGTAAACAAAAGATACAAAAGAAAGACACTTTCCTTCAAACATCGTAGTAGATGCATGCGTGTGTGTGTATTCTTTATATTTATTTATATATATATGAAGAATAAGCTAACATAATGGCTCCCTAAATTATGGTACACTTCAAGTTACCATGGTCCCAATTACATGTCAAATGTGGCATGGAATATATACTTTAGCTCTGGGGCAAGTTACCATAAAATGGAAAAGAAAGCAAAATGGAATGAACTACGTGAAGTGACCGGTCTCAATTTTTACTGCGTTTTAAAGAACCACATGGTTTATGTGAAGGCTGTCTTTAATGGCCACATCAGTTAGGGAGATGAAGAGTTGCCCCCTCCCCCCAAAAGGACTCTTCTACTGACAAAGATACTCCACTTTCGGAAAGAATATCTTCAGGTATGATTTTTTTTAATCACAGTTGTCTAAAACTCGCAGTGCTTCTTCTGTGTTACATAAGTTAAGGCATTATATCTGGAGTTACTCCGCCAACATGGCATTAAGGCTCTGAACAATTAAAACATTAAAGAACAGGGTCACGGTCTGTTAGCATTGTAGTCTGCAGAGCATGTATGTTTAATACAACACCAGACCATACTACTACCAAAATACTACAGTTCTTTTTCTGAGAGAAAATTCCCAGATGTAATAATTTAAAGAGGAACAACCGTCTATTAAATGCAGAAAATAATAAGAGTGTTTGAAGGCTCTTGAAATGTCTTCTCTGAAGTGAAACACGAGGTTGACAAGTAACGTAGTAAAAATCCAATTAATTATTTCAAGACAAAGTCACTTCACTATTTTCCAGCCCATCAGAGAAAGCAAATATGGATAATGCCTACATCATGGGCATTTAATTTTAGAATCGAGAAAGTCTCATGGACGCAAACCTTCCCTCAGTGTAACTTCGACTCTCAATTCAGAGACACTGTACCTCATGACCAAGACTTAATCTACCAGGAGTGTGGAAAGTTCTCTTTCTTGAAGAGAAAATGTTAAAGACTCCTATCCAATGTGGATAATCGATAAAACAGATGATCAACCTGCAAATCATCCAGAATGGAGGACAGGACAGAATGAGGAGAGGATCCTCCTCTCGAACAGTCTAGCCTCTGGCTGCCCACAAGGAAAGAAAATGCTCTTCACCGATCCACACAATCCCAGGAATCTAAAACCAGCAATCACAGCAGTATTCGAGAAATGTTTTTTCATCACTGCCGGATGCTGAACTAAGAGCACCATGGTAATCAGAACCAGCTGCCATCGCTAAAAATCTAAAGTTGAAGGGAGAACGAGCCAGAAGGCCAAACCCAATCATGACAACAGCCGCGCACACACTCACACCGACCGTTTGTCAACGATACGTATACAATTTTCTCATTAAACCAACGAAAAAGGCATTTAGCACGAGGAAGCAGTGCAACTAAAGACAAACAGTTGAAAACATCCAAAACATGCAAAGAAAAATTTAAATGTGGAACGAGAAGGGGGTTGGCGGGGGGGGGGGGAATGGTGTGGTCGTTGGAGGCAAGTTTTACTGTGTCAGGTGCGTCCAGGTGCAGTAAAGAAGCCAGAAACCACGAACCGAGCTGGCAGAGAATGAACAAAGCAGTGCTTTCCCCCGTCCTCCCAGGAGAGACAAAGCCCGGAATCTCGCTGAAAACAGCCGGAGGAGGATTGGGAGGGCAGGAGAAGGAGGAAGGCAGGTGGTCTCCACCTGAGAAACAGCTCTAGAGTTTAGCTCCCCGCTCGGGGTCTCCCATTTACCTCGGAACAACAAATAATTTGTGGCAACACATCAATGTCAACATGAGACACCTCTCCGTTAACTTTATGCTGCTCGTCCTCTGTTTCTTCGCTCATGTCTTGCTTAATAGCGCCTTCGTTTACACTCTTCTCTGCAGATAGCTTTGGGGCCACTACCTTCTCCCGGATCACTGTTTCTACTGCGCTTACACTGGCACCTGCTTGTCTGCCTGGGCTGGCTTCTGGCACTGCTTCCTCCCTCTCTACTACCTTGGCTGCTCGGCCGGCTTCTTCCTCCACCTCTTCGTCATACTCCTCCTGCTCTTCCCTTATGGTGCCCTGGGTCACACGGTGGTGGGGCCGGTACTCGCCCACGTCTTCCTCCTCCTCGCTCTCGCTGCCGCTGCTGCTCTCAGAAGACAGGGAGGTGGAGTCTTTCTGCGTCAGAGGCTCCACCTTACGGGTCTCCCCAGGACCACTCCCAGGTGATAGCTCTTTACCGTTCATTTCTTCTGTGATTACTCTTTCGTCTTTCCCAACCTCTGCCTGCTGCTTCTCCTCCACTACATTCAGAGTCTCATGTGAACTCTGTACGGGGAAAAAAAAAACGGATGAGGGGAAACAAAAATATATGAATAAATAAGCACGACGGAAACCAAAGTTAGCTGATGGTAGGTTCATGGCATGGAGAGAAACAAAAGATGATTATGATGGCTGACTGAAAGGGAAGCGGGGAGAACGTGAGGGGAGTCGGAAACATCGGGCAATGGTGTTAACATGGAAAAGGGGAGAACCTTAGCAGCATCACTGGCTCCAGTGCAAGGCCCTTCTGACTCGGGAGCGCGTTTCTGCGGAACAAAAAGCAACCGAGGACACAAATCAATAAAGTTTTACACCGCAACACCCACCAAAACAAACATCTGACACCGCGAGGACAGAACAGCGAGAATCGACAGCTACAAAAACCTTTGCTCAAGGTCACATGAAGGACAATCCACACAAATGCAAAAAGCTTACGAAAGGAAACGAAAGCACAAAATTGCCAGCATCCTCCCAAAGAAGTAAAATGCTTTTTATTATGGTTATACCTGTAAGCTCTACTTATTTAGTCGAAAAGGTAGAGAGGAAAACGGAATTGTACCAAAGCCCACTGATTATTTTAAAGTGGAAATTGTGAAACTTCTAAAACCTGTTCAATAAACAGTTTTGACTTTAATCTGACTATAAAGCCTGGCCTGAAACCCTGATTCCTAAATGAATATAGCACTAATGAGACGGCACCTTTATTTTTTGCTGGCTCCTTTAAAAAACAGCTATAATGGGCAAAATTATAGTGGGTCTCACATAGCTATTAACATAAAAATGTTGTCATTTCAGAAATGGTTATTAACCTCCCCAACTACATTATAGATTAGCAAAAGGGATATTTTAACATTAGGGTGGATGTCAATGATGGCTCCAAATGTTTTCTTAGAATTCAACTCCTCCAACTAGCATCTTTGGAAACCAAAATGAACCAAGTTTATTATCGGAGATATGTATTCCTGTCCCCTGCAGACATCTACCTCTTGGGAGTAAATTTACTCTAATTAAGTAGTACAGTACCTAAATGTTTAATAAGTGCCTGTTGACCAAATACATTAGTGATATAAAGGTCTATAATCACCAGTGTAGAAACTCTTACAAAGGAGTTTTCAAAGCTTACGATTTTCCTTAAACTTATTTTAAAACGGGGGGTGGGGGAGGGTGGTGACAGCTACTCTGCATGGGCAAAAATGAAGCCTGGCTAGGCTTTTTAACATTCAGGTGACATGATAGCCTGTGATCTAACTTAAAAGTAATTTTGCTAGAGACAGTAGCCCTGCTTATTGAGATGGTATCTCCACGCTGAATGGAGCAGGGCAGTGCGCCTCTGGACCATCGGGGCAGATGTGAACCCCGTTCCGAAGCTACCAAGGTACTACTTGGGTTGGAGCCGTTTCCTAGAACAGACAGAAGCATCCCACATTTATCTGCACCAGGGATGTGGACAACAACCATGAGCAAAAGGCCCTAAAAAGGCACACTTCTGACAGCACCTATCAGGATATACTCACTCTCTCTGATCCGTGCTGTTATTCTTAGATGCATAGTAAGGACATGTTTTCACTGCCCCAAATTAGTGCCATGTAAAAATTATGTTACTGACAGATAAAAAAAGATATCCTCCCAGCTTTATGGAAAACCCAGAGGTTTCAGATATTAAACTGGAACTCTCTGAAACTCTTTTGATAAATAACATTTAACTGTAACTATAAACTTCTTTATCAGTAAAGATATCCAGTGATCAGAACATTTCTAAAGCAGACATTCCATTATTGTGATGCCAGGTCAGTAAATTATTATTATTTAACCCCAGACAGCCAGATGAGTTCTGCCCAAGTTCAGGGAATCTCTTAGGGTCATTCCAAAAAATGAAAATAATTATTTCACTGAGAATGGCAAACGTTTCATATTTGTGGACATAAGCAGAATGGTAAAAAATAATCAGCCATCAGAAGATGCCTGAAAGACATTTAGGCTTTAAAAACTTTTCTGCAGAACATACTTAGCTTCTACTAGATTGAGGGTTTCCTTTCACAAAACAACTCAGACTCTGTTCCTTAGTGGTTTTAAAGGATTCTCTGAATTTAGGCAGATTTTGGGGGTGGGCAGGGAACCAAAAGCCGCAGGAGAAACATCCAATCTGTACAGTTTTCCCACATGTCCAAATTCAGTCATTATTTCTTGAATGTTTCTCCCAGGAAGAGTTAATTTTACCAATGAAAGCACCGGAGAGAGGGGTTCCTAAATATTCAAAAAATAAAAATCACTTTTCATATGTGGCTTTCGAAAACAGGGGAAACAAAGTAAAATGCACCTCTGGCAACCGTGAGAAGGGCGAGGAGGAAAGCTTTTCAGAAGGCGCATTAGAGCTCACAACAGTGCCCTCTGCTGTCCAAGTGGTGGCTGAGGTGAAGGTGGCTTTCATGCTACCAGAAAAGCCCTTTTCACTAAACAAAATTGACATTATCTCCTCTTCTAGGCTCTAGAGAGGTCAGAAAAGGAAGAGCAAAGAATTAACAATAAGTCAGAACAGACAGCAGTGACCTATTGAAAGAAAGGAAAGGTTACACAAGAAAGAATCACAGAACAGCACAAACTGAAAGAAAGGCGAGGGTTCTGCGAGATTCCAGAAGGCATATGTTGGCGTTTTGCCTAAATGCCAGCTTTCCACTCTGAGATTCTGATAGCTCTAACCTACGGGAACCAGCTCAAATGCCTTGGTTTATCACTGAAGCTTTATTTACAAACTGAGCACAACCGATCTACCCACACACCGAACACTTTCACGTATTCCTGAAGTAGCTACTCGGCGTCAGCCTCTTTCTGCACAGAACGGTCTCCTCACTGGCCCCTACTCTTGCAACACGAATTCCTGTGTAAGAGCTTGAATGACCCCCACCCTCCTGCCTCCCTGGGCACACTGGGCCCTGCTAATTTTGTCATCTCTCTGAGGTCCACTTGACATTCCGTCTTGTGCACGGCCTTCCCTGCCCACGCTAGCTCCCCCAGGGTGATGTACCATATGAACGGTCTGTACAACGTGTGCTCTGACAGCAACCCATGGAAATCCCTAGACACGCTAAATATGCCATGGAATGAAGAAACAGTGCTTTGCTTTGTTCAGCAAGAACCAGGTAAAGAAAAAAATTCTCAACAGGAAGACAGACTCAGAGGCGGAAATTCAAGGGAGTGACGTGAAAATCACCTGTCCCTGAAAAACCACAAAGGCACATTTAATGTTCACACTGTGGTCCTTAAACAGGAGTCCCTAACCTGTGTGAGGGCACAACAGGAAAGCCTGGGACTGTCCCGGGTACCTGTAATGCCAACAGTAAAGAGTCACCATAAAGCGAACGTCAAAATTGTGTAAGAATGCTTCCTCAAAAACCTGAGTGCTCCGAGAGCTTAAAGATGAATGAATGAATGAATGAATGAATGAATGGCATTTCTGAGATGCCCCTTGAAACAGTACACTAAGAAGGGTGAGGAGTAGGGACACTGACATGAGGTGGGTGTGGTGCAGAAGCACTTGCAATATTCAGGAGAGAAAAAACATCTTCTAGGTTAATTCAGCTTAATTACAATCTCCGTAATTACACCATCCCTCTGGGTCAGGTGGGTAGAGAGTGTCCTTACCAGTAAGAGAGCACTGGGGAGTTCAAATAAGTGCCATGCATTTAATTATTCAATAAAATATCTTCATAAGTACCTTAAAACTACAGTCTATGGAATCTCTACTGGACTCATGAGAATTTTTTATACAAGCATATAATTCTTACAGAAGAGGATATATAATCGTTATTTACTAAATGCAAATGTATTACATTAAGCGATTTGGTTTCCAGCTTTCTCCCAAAATCATATTCAAATTGAAGTCATTTTGAAAGCTTGCTGTATTTATTTTTAGACAAGAACTGTTTTTATTTTCATCTCTAAAATCCATATTCTAGAAATTTAGAAAATTTGGTCAAATTAAGGCTCTTCTGCATAACTTTTTATTTCACACCATTAAGGATTACAATTTAAAGACAATCAAGAAACCCTACAAAATCAGTAGCAAAATGAAGATGTTGCAAAGACAAATTGAAAAGATATTCTGTTAAAAGTCCAAACACTCCAGTACACTTAACTGCTCACACACTTTCAACTAATGGTAGTGAAATGTTATTGGTGGGGGATGGGGGTTACAATGTAAGTGGCCAATAAATGTTGGGTGGATGGATGACTGTAGTTACAACCATCCACGTACATGTCAAATAAGAATATATTTTCCTGCACATGCTAGAGAGGAAAAAAGAAAAAAAAAAACACACTTCAAGTATAAATAAACCATTTGGGAGTGGAAGAGGGTCAATTCCAGATTGAAATTTCACGTAAGATCATTTTAATGTAAGTTCTACAACAATTAGTGAATGATTTCTATTGTACATGGTTTCTATTGTACAATACTAAAACCATGACAGCCAGGAAAACAGTAATTTTAAACATCTTCACCCAAATCCCAATGTTTCCTACTGCCAAAAGTACAAAGGACATCATTTTAAGTTGATCAGATGGTGCCATCTGACTCGCTTCTGCAGGATAAATTTTCAAAACTATGTAATATTTCACAGCATATGATATTAAAGTCATTTTTACATGAAGAGTCTGACAGGCTTTGGATTTCAGGTTAACCTTTCAAGTATATAAATATGCCACTTGGTTTAGCTTTATGACATTATCTTTCTCATTTGCAGTGCTCTGGAAATATTTCATCTCAGCTACACCTCCAATGCCTTTAGGGCAAGACTTCATTTTCCATTTATTTTGCCTCCTCCCACTGTATGTCCTGATGAATGCTACGGTCTACTGATTAACAAAATCAGACTTTGTGGAACAGGAACACATTTTCCTTTTCGCTGATTTCTGCTCTCACTCACACCCACCTACGACCCCATTCCTCATCCAGCACCAGAGAGATCTCTGTCCCCCAAGTGGGACTAGGTTATTGCCCAGCCCAAAGCTCTCCAGTGACTTCCCATCACTCCTACTCGAATTCCAAATTGGCAGCGTGGTCCTTAAGATCCAGAGTGACCTTCTGACCTGACTTTTCCTAAGCCCTTGGCCTTTGGCCTTTCAGTTCCTTAAACTAGTTCCTGTCTGGGGGCTATTGCGTTTGTTCTTCTTTACACATGAAAAGAATCTTCACACGTCTGTCCCCTTCTCATTGTTAAGGTCTCAACTCAAATGCCATCTCTTCCTGAGCACAAGAGCAAAGCAGCCTTCCCATCACCTTGTAACACAGCACTGTATTTCATCTTCTTAACACTCATTTCTTAGTACCCTAGAGTTTCTAATTCCTAATTAACAGATCTCCTATCTCCCCCACTGGACTCTAAGCACTACATTCCCAGCAAGGAGCAAGCTGGCCAGCCAGCTAAGCGAAATTAGTAGAAACAGAAGATTAAGAATGTAAAAGCAATGGAAAGCTAACTTCCTTAAGTAGTATCAGATATTTCATATATGTAGGGAGCGCAGAGATCAGAGGGGCTGCACCAAAGACACCAAATCTTTTCTCCCGTTAAAAAGCTTAAAAATGAAAATCCACAAGGCTTCCAAGTGTTGTTAGTAAAACAGTAACCTACCTCACACGTAATGTGTTAGTTTAACACCACCGCAGCGTGCACAAGTGTTGTACTAACGGTGCATTTTCACACGAGATCATGGTTTCCCAACTGTCAGCCACATACATCAAAATCAGGGGTCATCTACCACCCAAACTGGTTGATATGTCTGCCTTTTAAGTTGTGGAATGTCCAAATAAAGTACTCCTGCAGGGCGCTTTTTCTCACTAGTGATCCCCTCTTTCTACCCACAGAAATGAAATTTTTTGAATGCTTGAAAATTTTTTTTCAAAAACATTTTCGGTTGATACATCAGAAAAAAGGAGTATCCCATGGCCGTGGACAGAAGTACGAGGAAAAGGGGAAAAAGCAAGCGGAGATCCAAGGATGCAAGGTGAACACCTTGTCTGCCTCCTGGACTTTTTCTTCAACTGTCCGTGTTGCCGCTCTCTGATGCTTCTCCTTCACGGATAAAATATCCTTGAAAAGATGGTCTCCTTTGCTCTATTGTTTTAAACAATAGACATAATCAACAGATAAGACAAGTACATTACATCTATAGCAACACAGACATAAAACAACCGTATGGCTCAGCAGGACAAACCAGATGAAGCGGCACATAACGGGGGACAAAACCTTAGCATGTCATCAGACACAATTTCTCCAGAAAACACAACACTCTAGAGCTGACTGCTGACACATGGGCACTAATAGCTCCAGGAAATCTGAAAATAACAATTTAAGTTGTTGTATATACAACTTGATGAGCCTCTGGTGTTTTCAATCTTACTGTTGCCCTAAGTTTTTTTTTTGTTTTTTTGTTTTTTCAGTTCAGCAATGGTTTCTGCTTCTGCTCTTGTAGAACTAGTTTCCTGTCATGGTCACAAACTTGGAAATTTAAAGCAACTAACAGCTTTGCCTTCTTAAGAAAAAGTGAATAAAAATAGCATGAGACTAACGCAAATGCATACACATTGGGTAAAATTCAAGCCAGACTAGATAGATGATGAATTAAGGAGAAGAGAGGGCTGTAAGGAAAGGGGGAAAGATGAAATTGTCAGCTAACACCTTTATACGACTTTTTAAAATAGCATATTTAAAATAGTATAATCAGTATTTCCTCAAACATGATAAATGAGTCCATGAAAGTTTTTCGTTGGTAACAGATTTTGGAGCATTAGAAAATAAGAGATGTAGATAAAAACGAATGGAGAAATAAATTGAGACTGTATTGTAAAGGCAATACTTATATTGGTGGTGGGGAGACAAACCACGGAAAGAAAAAGAATGGGTGTGGAGAGACGTTATGGTTGAAAATCCTTTTAAAATACTAGTCTACATTTCATTACTAAGAAGCTTCAGTACTAAATCGTATTAACATTTTGCAAACTTTCAACAGAGCTCATCAGCTTTCAGAGCTAAGTTTAACACTTTATCCTCACAGTAAATACCTTGTAACATTCTAAATATGATCTATATTCCTACACCCCTTTAATGATTAATTATTGTTTAGTAAACTCTTATTTCAGTCGTTCATAACAAAAAACCTTAAGGCAACATAGTAATGCCAGTTTCTAAGTCACCAATATGACATGTCATTACTACTAATTTACTTGAGTAAAAATAGTGAAAGTACTTTGCAACTTTCAAAAAAAATTTTAAAAATCATACAATGTACTAAGAACGAAGTCAATAAGTATTACATTGTTAATATTTAGTATTTAAAAAGTTGTTAGCAATTACATTAAAAAAAAAAAAAAAAAGAACATTTTCTAACTTCCTGAGAATCAACATAGTATATCAGCAACCTGAGTTCTACTGAAGAGCTGGAATGAGACATATAGCCAACAAAGAGCTAGTGACATACCCCTTGTGTCTGTAGGGACAGAGGTGTGATACGTCGTTTTTCCCATTCATTAGGGCGCGGCTCAGGTGTGGATTCCATAAAATTGCGCTTGAGTTCACTAATGCTAGCCTGATGTCTCAGTATGTCCTCCTGGGCCTTATCGAGGTCCTAGCAATATGTAACGTAATAAAGGGCAGAAATCCAAAAGGAAAAAAAAGAAGAAAAAGAAAAAGAAAAACCCAGCAGGACAAAAATAAAAAAACCAAAAAATAAGACAGAGCAAATTTATGATTAAAAAAACATAGTAAAGCAAGAAAAATGCCAAGTCTCAAAAGCCATATTATCACCTATGAATATAAGGAGTTCATCAAAATTGGAAAATAAAGCCAATGTGTAATTTTTTTATGGTTCACATTTTAAAAGGTTCTAATTTCTTCTCTGTTTAGAATTTTTAAAGAAATAATTATTAACATTATCAGAAGGATGTCATAGAACTACTGGTACTCAAAATGGCTAATGACCTTCTTCCTAAAAATTGGACTTAAAACGCAGCCTATGACTTTGTTCCTGCAAATTTACCTGTCTCATGAAGGCTATCACTACAGCTGCATTCTGTGAACATAGTAAACCAAGTAAAAAATAGAGAAAGGTACTCAGAAGCACATTTGGCTTGAGGGGAAAGCCAGACCAAGATCATCAAAAAAAAAAAAAAAAAAAAAAAAAAAAAAAAAAGAGAGAGAGAGAGAGAAAGAGAAAACCAAGGGTTGACTTTTTCCAGGAAATTCTAGCAATGGCTTTTAACAGTTAAGGAATAAAAATAATGGCTTCCAAAGGCTGCTTCTGTTCAGCCTCTCTATAAGAGTGAGTCTCCCATACGGTTTCATGTGCTTGCCAAGCACAATTGTGAGGCCCAGTCACCCCACATACCAAATGGTCCTTATTCAGAAAGAGTTACAAGAAAAACTGCCAGGTCAATTTGCACTGGAGCAGGCCCTGACAAATGGTATTGGTGGGAAGTTTTAGGTTGGCCCCGATAAACTGTATTTGTGGGAACAAAAGGTAACTAGCATCCAGGAAACAGTGTTAAGTGAATTTTAAATGTTTTCTTACATTTCAAAATCACAGGGCCGCCCATGGATTATAGCTTTCATCGCACTCCCAGAGGAACAGGTCATGCATCTGATAACATTAGATAGTCCACATTCATGCACAAGCATCACAGCTCATCTACGAGCTTCTGTAGCCATTTGCAAAAACTCATGATCATCTAAAACTCTTTGCATGGCATGGGAAAATGACTGTGGCTTGAGATCAGGCACATTTCTTGCATTTGTTCAAAGCAATGTTACATATTACAGTTCAGAGCATTTTAGTAAGTTAGGCAAAACACATTTCCAATAGTTATCAAAGCTGCCAAAAGCAACCAGATTAGTCAGATTACTGAGAATTGCAGTTCTCCAAATGAATACGTCGCCATTTTACTACCATAAAATAAGGGGGAAAACAGAAACACGTTCTCGTGTGACACGGGGAATATATTTTACATACCTAATTGGTTGCCTGGGTTTTCTTTTTTTTGCCCCCCCTTTCTTTCCCACTCTCTTTTTAATCAAAACAATCCATTAACATATTTTTCAAATGTAATACTTCTGTTCTGGTGAATATATATTAAGGATGGGGTGTTACTTGGGATTCTATACCCCGGAGATAACCCATTAGGGAGAGAACAGATTTACCTGCAGAACTTCAGTAAGAGTAATAGATAAAAAATTTTACTCATTCGATTACACAGAACTTTTTTTTCCCAGTTGTCACTTTGAGAACTTCTCGTAGATATACTCGTACCTAAGCCACTTTAAAGGAACAAAATCGGACTGGTAACATGCACTCCCGAGTTGAAGTGTCCCCCATGCATTCCATGCACCGTGCTTAAAGAAAGTTGCCAGCCAGCCTGTGCGTGACCTCCCGTCCACAGCAGCTTGGCAGCCATTAGGACAGAGTTGTTTTCTTAAATTATACAAACCTCCAACATTAAATTGCTATGTCTGACATAAATATTATCCCCTTCTACTCTCAAGGAATTCTTCTGTGAAATTAAATCACACACAGGGGGAAAAGGCAAATAAACGTAAGTGTATCAGTCGACAAGCACCAAAAATGACCCAGAGTTGGCTAGTCCAAGACATTAACATAAAAGTGGAATAAAAAATCTTAAGAACCTAAAGTCACAACAAGCAAAACTCACAGATCATCCCCGAAGTGCATCACACCCCCCCCCACCCCACACACACACACACCATAATAATGGTGCACAGCAGCCACCAGGTATTTAATTCAGGGGGAATAAATATCCACCTCCTCCAGCTGTGTCTTCTCTTCTTTCCTCTTCACCTGAAAGTCATACAGCAAATGGCCAGAAAGAAGGGGGTGGGGGTAGTCGTAGCAACTCTACATTGGTGCACAGAAGCTGTATTGGAACTGAAATGGTGAACCGATTACCAACCTTTACTGTTTGGCCCTCAGAAGATGCAGAACATTAAGCCACTTTGGTCTTTCTTCACCTACATTGTTGCACAAATGGTGGAACTAGGCCTTTTTGCAAAGATGGAATGGAAAATGGAAGCTTCACTCTTTCTCAGTCCCTAGATTATGTGCTCCTTTTGAATGTTTTTACTCAGAAATGAAAATATGAGAGTGTAAAAATGGCATAATTCCATCTGTCCTCATTAGAAAGGTCTAGAGCAACGAGTGATGAGGGCAAAGTATAATGATGTAAAAATTTCGTTTTCACTTTATATCGGGGACAAATATTCACCCTGTTATTGAGTTCTTTAACATAAATTTCTTTCCTTGGGAAGAAAACTGGCTTATTTTGCTACTTGCATGTTAAAACTGTACTTAAAAATACTCCTATTTTATAGCCACTTTTCATAAAATTCTTTAAATAAGAATACTTTTTAATGTTGGACACTTCTCAGTCTCTAGTGACCCAAGAGAAGGAAAAAAAAACCAAAAACCTGTAAATCTAAACTAACTCATGGAGACAAAAAGTACAGCATATGGAATCTAACTCATGGAGATAAAGCACAGCATAGGGAATATCATCAATAATACTCAAGTAATGTCATATGGTGACAGATGGGGACTAAGTAACATACAGAACTGTCAAATCATTGTTATACACCTGAAACTAATGGAACACTGTATGTCAATACATAAATTAATGTATTAAATAAATAAAATTTTAAAAATTTAAATAAATAAATAAAAACAGAAATGACTACCGACTTCAAGGAAAGGCATAGCAAGAAACAAAAATAATGATTCAGAGACCGAAAGACAGCAGTTTAACCCTCACATGTTAATTACAGCAGGATCATATATATTCCTTCTCTTCCTAACTGGAATGATAGTGTCAAATCTGAGAGTTCAAAATGCTGTTTTGTTTTTTTTTTCTTTTCTTCAAACCATTCAAGTATGTTTGAGGTAAGCAGGGAGTCCAGAGGATCTTTTTATCCGAAGGGAAATAGAAGACAGAGCTACCCAACAACCTATTAAGGATCATCTCCCAATTCCTTCGTCAATATTTAATTCTCTACAATGCCAATCTGTGGCATTCTTCAGGTAACCTTTAAGAATAGTGGTTTCTCCCACTATGCCTAATCATAGCATTACCTTTACAGTCTTCTTCAAGTGTGCTCTAAATTTCTGTGGTCTACTCTGTGGACAGTACCCACAGGACATGAGACACTAAGTCTTCAGACCACATTTAGCAAAACAAAAACATACTGCACATGTTAGTACTAACCTAGTAGTGCAGTGGTAGCCCTATAAAGGGATAAAAATCCTCAAACCAGACACCTAATTTTATTTATTTATTTATTTTTTAATATTTTAACTTTTTTATTTATTTATTTATTTATTTTTGGGACAGAGAGAGACAGAGCATGAACGGGGGAGGGGCAGAGAGAGAGGGAGACACAGAATCGGAAACAGGCTCCAGGCTCTGAGCCATCAGCCCAGAGCCCGACGCGGGGCTCGAACTCACGGACCGCGAGATCGTGACCTGGCTGAAGTTGGACGCTTAACCGACTGCGCCACCCAGGCGCCCCCAGACACCTAATTTTAAATAAAAGGATGCTAAGAAGCCCAACCTTAAGGCTAATCATCTAAATTTTCAAAGAGCTGTGTTTCATTCTTCATATGTATTTCTTCAAAAGAAACTAGTATCTTCCTTACAAATACTTGACAGTTGACCCTTTCATAGAACTACATGATTTAGTGTTAAAACAATGACCACAACAACAAAAACTAACCGAAATTCATCTGGTTCCCAAACGGTACAATAATAGGGAGACAGGGAATTTCTGAGATTAGGCCTATAAATGTCAGGAGTAAAAGCTTACAGATACATCCTCATAAATGCAAGAAGAACAAGCTTGGCTTTCTAAAGAGAAATAATGCTAAGGAGTTGTACTAAAACACATCAGTGACAGTTATGTCCACTGTGTCCTAAGTTCTACATCAAAACAGCTTCCACCCTAAAGGAACAGCACTGATATCTGCAAACCAAACAGACCCCATTATGGATTGTTAAGGGGAACACAGGGTTCCTTCTTTTTTACATTTAAAACATTTTTTACAAAGACCAAGCATGGTCTAGATATTTACAAAATCATCCTATCATAACTTTGCTCTCAACTTAGAACATGTGGACCTGGTCTATGGAAATCAGTGGAGGGCACGTGCTTATTTACATGTATTTCTCATGCACTAAAACACTGTATGTGAAAATGTGTGGCTCATACTACTTTGAGGGTAATCGGTGGTGAAATTTATGCACATGTTTACACTCTACATTATGAAGACATAAAATGAGGTGTAGTTTTGTTGGCCCCACAAACTCAAGCTTATGTAGGAGTGCCAGCAACTGCTTCCTCTTCCTCTGTTTTGTCATTCACGTCACAGTCATAAGAAACATTAAAGGAAGTGGCTTTAGCCTCCAGATAGCAGAGGGACAGAGCCAGAGGAAGGGAAAAGGTGAGAGAAAAAGGCACTGACTGAGAAGCAGAGAGAAGCAGTCCAAAGATAAGGATGAGGGAAGGAAGGAATGAAGGGGAGGTAATAGGAATGTAGTGCTGGACATCAGTGGGGAGGAAGGAGACCCAGACTTTGGGGAGGCTGGGGAAAGCAAGATAACCGTCTTCATCGAGAAGGGAGGGGAAGCTAGGCGGAAAGCACTTGCAGAACCTGAAGGAAAAGTACCCAAATTCAGAATCTCTGTGGTCAGCCTCTTTTAGAGGCTTCTCACGGGTGGGAGGACAGTCAGGCTGAGGGGGGGCTGCAACAGGAGCCAAGACAGAATCGAGGGTGGGCACTTCACAGTCCCCCTGCTCTGACGGTTCACCTGTGGAAGGGAGCTCTAAGCTGTCGAGTGTGACCTCGTCGGCCTCCCCAAAGGGGTCTTCCTCCGAAATGTCTGAAAGCAAGTCCATTTCGGGGACTGGCAACAGGTTTGGGGAAAGAGATGAAACACAGCAAATGAGTGGTGAAGGTGGGCATATGGAAACAGGCTATTCTCAGGAGCAAACCCATGATGGAATTGAGAAATGAACACAACGGATACGTTCAAAGGAGAAACAGAGGCAAGAGAGAAAAAGAAGAAATGGGTAGTTAGTGAAAACTTGTACTCTGAATTAGGGATTGTTATCAACACAGCACAGCTAGAACATGAATTACATGATCCACTTTTAAGAGAAAAACTGGACTACTTGTATCACATAAAATTTATAGGTATAGACCGATTTCATTATTATTCTCTGACTGGTTGCAAAGAGATCCAATGAAACTCAAGTAACATTCTTACTTTTAAATCTGGTTGCATTTAAATCAATGCTTCAAAGCACTGGCAAAAAGACCAGCGCACCTCGTCATTTGTTGCAGAATTTCCTTTGGAATTTAAAATAACTTTTTAAAAATAACTACGTGCATCAAATTAAGTAGGCAAAAGGGTACTGAGACTCTGAATCCCTGAGCTGTTTGGTTTCAGATGGAAGCAGTCACTCTCCTGGGTGCCTCATTAGCATAATCCTAAAAGATTCTGACAACTTTACATTGGTTGAAGGATATTTTGTTGGTCAGAATTTGTTATTTTTAACTGAATGACTTTCAACCAAATAATTTTTTTGGTATGACAGTCACAAGTACTTTAACACAGGTATTCGGGGGACGTGATGGCACGGTGCTCCTTGGGGGCATTAGGGCTCACATGGTCCCCGAACCCTGCTCTATGTAGACAGGTGGTCAGCGCAGGAATTCCTGAGCCACTGACAGCTACTAGTAGGTTCTTTATACATTTATGTTGCAGGTCGTTAACATTTTCAAAAGTTAAAATTTAGAAAGCATTATAAAATCGATAGCAGAATTTCCTTTTCGTGTTCACTTCCAATGTTCTCTATAAAAAAGTTGCTTTGTGTAGATACAGAAAAGAGATCTGATGAACTCAAAGCCTCTTCAAATCAACCTCTAAGTGACTTCACGTGCCCAAGGGAAGAAGGGATCATAAAATAGTGACAAATTTGAAAACACAACACAGGCTACTTCTCCACTCCCTACGGAGTGTGCCCCAACACACCATTCTCTCATTCACTATTCACCAGTCACCCTTTGCTTAAGAATTTCTTCATCATCAGCTAGAGATGAATGAAAAATAACATTTTTCATAAAGACCATCTTTGTTCATTTCAAAAAAAAAATTCAAGTCAACATAATTAAAATACCCAACACAGGTTATGCTTTCAAATTTACAAACAAATACACATTTCAGATCACCGCAGCTTTTACAATTTAGGGATTTAACTAAATAGGATGATTGTGAAGACAGTCACAAATACTAGGCCACTAAATTACTTGCTTGCACCAATATAAATTACATTGAAATATTTTGCTTTGAACAACAATCAGAAAAAGGCTAGAGAGACTGTTCAGACCAGCAGGAGCCTACATGTACCTGAAAATGGGGAACTTTTATCAGCAGAGAACATACATAGACTAATTTTAAACGATACCTGAGTTCTGAAACAACAAATGTAACAGCCTCTAGTCTAAGTACACATTTAAAATCACATGTTCTACTAATTTACCATACCTTTCCTTCAACGAATTGCACATGTGGGACTTTAGTCGGGCTCCTGAGGTCCCTTCTGCCATCCCCATCCTGTACCATGGCGGTGCTGACAGCTCCGGGGCCATATGCTGAAACCTCCCCAGCAGGGCCAGGAAAATCCTTCATAAGACTTTCATCAACAACACCAACTGGAGCTAGTAAAGAAAGATCATTTGGAATACTTTAGGACACTGAAATGCTCAAAGTTTATGGAACTGCCCCCTCTTACACAGATGAACAGGCAGCACGTAGACATTAACAGGAACGGGAGCATTGCTTGAGCTCTGAAGATTCCAACATATCAAATTCATTTTTAAATTTTTACCAAATTCTAAACATATTCTGAATTTTAACCCATGAAACTACACCAGGCTCTCCAATCAGACTTTGGAAGGCTTGAGTCTGATCATGGAATTGGCCAGTAGGAGGAGCTCTAAGACCAGGTGAGACAGAGCTGGGCACTGTGTCAAAATCCCCAAGTGAGGAATATTTTAATTCTGTAAGGCCTCTTTGATCTTTCCTAAACTTATTTCTAAATCTATTTATTGCAACAAACAATTATCTAGAGGTTGAAATGATTTGCTTCAAATATGTTTTCAGAATTCTTCCATAAAGGAAGCGTTAATTTGTGTATCATTCAAAATTATGACAAGACAGCAAAAGTCCATTTTACAAATTAACTTCTGTGCTTATTTTTAATAGTTTTCATTTTTCTAACCTCCCTCCTGAGTGCCTCAATTTGACCTACAATAAATCCAATCCAACCCCCTGCCTCAGCAAACCTGGCCCTCGTGTGCTTTTCCTTCATTCCTCCTGCACATGAGCAGGGACATATATTGTGCTGAAATTTCTGCCATATGGCAGGTCAACCCAAGACGGCATCACATTTCAACAAATGCAAGTGAGTAGCAGCGACAAAGCCTCTACCCATCTGTAGCTTTTTCCCCAAACCCCACCCACTGAGGTTATTTCACTTGTATGAAAAGTGCTTGACTGACATGGTGAGGTTTGCATTGGTTCTATGCCCCAGAGAAGGGCAGTAAACATGAGGCCTTTAGGCTGCAAGCTCTCGGAGGGCAATGGGTGTGATCCACCATATTGAACTGGGGAAGCATCAAGCACCTGTAATCTGTGTATCACAAGAAATGTCTTGGCCCACACCCTTCATGTGCCCTGTCCAAACCTTGCACCTTCCCTAGCCTTGCCTTTTTCACAGATACCACACTTCTACTTGTACCCAGTTACCCAAGCCACAAACCTTGAAGTCTCTGCCTTTATCCCTTACGACCATCAAGTCCAGCTGAATTTAAATGTGGCCAGTTCTCCCTCCTCCTACTTTACTAACCAGGTCACTTTTAAGACTTTGACAGCCCTTAAGGACTCACACTTTTGAAAGCCCACACCAAATCTTACATTAAGTATAATTATTTTCTTTTTTTTAACTTTTCAAAAGACTTCAGTAATTTTCCCTCAGAAAATATAGGCTATGAGTAACTCTTTTAACTTATGATTTCTAAGCACCCATTACACACACTCAGAAATTGTTGCAAAATGGGAAACTGACCTAGAAATGGTTTTAGATGTAATGATACATACATTTTAATGAATATGAAAGTTACATAATGAAACTGGAAAAATATTTTGCATGCTTTTAAAGACATTAATTTCAGGGTGCCTGGGTGGCTCAGTTGGTTAAGCATCCGACTCATGATTTCAACTCAGGTCATGATCTCATGGTTCATAGGATGAGCCCTGTGTCAGGCTCCTTGCTAACAGCACGGAGCCTGCTTGGGATTCTCTCTCTCTCCTGCTCTCTCTGCCCTTCCTGTGCTTGCATACGGTCTCTCTCAAAATAAATTAAAACATTAAAAAAATAAAAATTTATTAATTTCACTATGCAGGGGGGTGGGTTGTTTGTGTTGTTTTTTGCATTTTGAAGCAAAATAACTTTTTAGGTCTCAAACACTTGTAGAATCCTGAGGAGCCTGTAGGCTCCAGGCACTGAGCTTATGGTGCCATATGGCTAAATGGCCTACTATCACCCAAGACAAGATCACTAGTGCTCTCACCTGGAGTATTCCTAACCAGTCTGCCTCTTCCTCTCTTGTCCTATCAATCATTCTCGACATTGCACCAAGTGATTTTTTTAAAGAGGTAACATCATGTGGTGGGGGGCGGGGGTAGGGAGTAACACGGTGCACTTACATGCTTGCAGAACTGCACACACATGTATGTAATGCACACACACATCCTTCAGTAGCACTAGAATAAAAACCATATTCTTCTCCATGGCCTGCAAGGCCCTGCATGACTGTTTGCCACCTATCTCTCCCCTCGTTTACTAAAGCTCCAACTAGCCTTCCTTCTGTTCCTGGACTGTATTAAGCTCTCCCTAATCTTATAACCTTCAGCCCTGATGCTCCTGCTACCTGGAATGCTTTACTGCTCTACTCCTGGCTAGTTCCCCCTCATCCTTCACGTCTCAACCCAAATGGTTCTTCACCAGATGGGCCTTCTTCTCCCATGACCCAATCCAAGGTAGTGTCCTGCTTATTATATTCCCCATTTTCAGGAAGTCGTTGTCTCCCTCACTCTCACATGCATCTTGGTTGTTCTCTTAAATGACTGACTTGTCTCCTTTTTGGCTTGATTTTCCAATCTCGGAATCACACTGTTCTAAAAAAGTTTTAGAGTTTTATTTCAATGCTTGACCTTAGACATCATGTTGATTTTTAGCTTGTATGTAATCACTGGACGATTTATTTCAATCTGTCAAAACTTCAAGTGAGAAATATTTATGTACCTAAACTAGTCTAGCCTGACTTAAAAACTAAGTAGGAAAAAGAAAATACGACACAGGTCAGCAACAGCAGATAAAAGGTGTACTGATGGGGAGTGGTGGCAAAAAGAAAGCTCAGTACCAGGTTACGGCCTAGCTTTGCTTTGGGAGGGAAAAGGGGAGACCAAAAGCCCTAACCAAATAGTTCACTGGCTCGTCATGTATTGGCATGAAAAGCCTTCTATTTTTCACAATAACACAATAATCCTTTTGATCACTTGCCCATCTGATGAATGACAGTGTCCAAAACACAAAAGGAAAAATAATGGATCACTGTGCATGTTTGCTGCTCTTACTTGTACAAATCATTGTTTTCAGATACAGACCTACTATAACCCTCTGCACTAACTGCTCACACAAGATGGTGGGCTTCCTTGAGCACCATTTATAGATCTCAAAACAGTGGTTCACTGCTCTTTCTTAACTCTAAAATTTGCAATATAAGAGTTATAAAGTCTCACAGTTTAAAACAAAGGCTGAAACATTCCAGAAAGGGGAATGACTTCTCTCAGGGCATTAACCAACACTGATTATAGGTTATTCAGCACTTATACAAATTCTCTGTGGCAAGGGGCAAGGCTTGTGAAATACTTCCACAAGCAGGAACATTTGTCACATTTACTTGAAAAAAAGTGTTCAGTTGTTGACGACCTAAAAGACACACGGACAGCTATCACACATCGAAATCTCAATAAATTTAAATCACTACATTTGGAAATACAGATAGTTATTTGAACCACAGTTTATGACCCCCTTGCCTATTTGTAGTCTTGAAACTATATGGGAGATTCTCCAGAATCAAGATTGAATAACTACATAGACAAATGCCCACCAACAAATCCTTGGAAGTATCTCTGTATGTCTGCCTGGATCTGTTCTCCAAGTTTATTCTGGGAAAAGTAGATCAAGGCCAAGGGGTGTCAATCCATTTAGGAGAGAGCATTTTTAGAATCAGACCTATAAATTCTGAGAATGGATGGCTGCCAGAGAGAAGTGGGTCAGAGGATGGGGAAAAAAGGGTGAAGGGGAGTGGGAGACACAGACAGGATTCCGGTTATACAATGAGTAAGTCATGGTGATAAAAGGTACAGAATACAAAATACAGTCAATGATACTGTAATAGCTTTCTATAGTGACAGATAGTAGCTACATTTGTGGGGAATCACTATATTGTATATCTGAAATGTATATCTGAAATTGATGTGACATTGTTAGATCAACTAGATTAAAAAAAAACTTAGCAAGTATACATATGAAAAAGCATTTTTATCTATTAGCAGATCTGTTTCAGCTACTTAAAAGTTGCTCTTGTTTATATGTCAGAAAAATGTAATAAGCAAGAAAGGTTTTCTATGATCAACAGCAGTAAAACACATTTCTTTTTAATGTTTATTTATTTTTGAGAGAGAGAGAGAGAGAAAGAGAGAGTGGGGTAGGGGTAGAGAGAGAGGGAGACACAGAATCTGAAGCAGGCTCCAGGCTCCGAGCTGTCAACACAGGGCCTGACGTGGGGCTCGAACTCACAAACCTCCAGATCATGACCTGAGCCGAAGTTGGACGCTTAACCGACTGAGCCACCCAGGCGCCCCAGTAATAAAACAAAATTTTAAATTATTACTATTTTTACATAGGTTTTGAGATTAATCAACCAAAAAATGTTGGAAAACTACTTTCTGGGAGAAAGTCACCCACATCAATTGGTTTCTTCTAGGCAGAAAGTAAAATGAAGTTCTTTATAAAACATTCATCCTAACATAAAAGGGGCACCTGGGTGGCTCAGTCAGTTGAGCGTCCATCTCTTGATTTCAGCTTGGGTCTTGATCTCACAGTTCGTGGGTTCAAGCCCTACATCGGGCTCTGTGCTGGCAGCACAGGGCCTGCTTGGGACTCTCTCTGTCTCTGTCAGCTCTTTTATAGAAAACTGACTACCCAAAATTAGGTTAATAAAATACATACATGAAGGGAAGGAATGTCAATTTATTTCCATACATAAAATATATAAAACTGCAAACCTGTAGCTAATAAGAATTCTAACAAAAAATATACAAATTTATACATAACCTCCCCCCACTTCGCTGAAAGAACTAACGATTATACTGTATTTCCTTTCTTTTTTGTTAAAACACTACATTTAAATTAATCCTTGGAAGTGGTGGTTGCTTTCTCATATGCTAATAAGTTTGGAAAGCTTTAGTAAGAGTTTTTAACTCATAAAATTAGAATATTTTAAAGTTCCTTTAAATAAGGTTCTTACGTTACCATACCAAAACCCTTCGAATTCCACTTTCGCCATTAATTAACAAGTTCAAGAAATTAAGACACATAAAACACATCATAATTAAGTCAGATCAGTAACCATGTATTTGTCCAACAACTTACCCATGATGATTCTTAATATTTGTGTGCACTGACAGTACAAAGAAAATTAGGTTCAGAATGACAGCTTGAAAACACTATAAAACTCTTCTTGTGAATATAAGAAATATTATTTTATTTACTCAGAGAAAATAGCTATCCTTCCAGGACATTTCTGAGGACCTCATTAACTAGATCAACACTTTCTGATCCCACTGGATCAGAGAAAGATTAACGCAATACAAACTATCACAAATGTGTTTACCTCCATCTAGACTCCTGGAGACCCGTTTGCTAGAGGTACGCTCAAAGTGTGGCGCTGGCCTGTCAATGAGGGTGCTTGCCTGGCGGGTCTGGGCTTGGGTGCGGCCGCTGTAGCGGAATTTGGACCCCAGGGTCAGGAACTTGGCCTTTGGTGGCTGCTCTGGAGACACAAGCCTGTAGGGGGAAACAAAAGAAACAAAAAGGAGACTTTATGAATTTTCTTTTTTAAAAAGATGACAGAAGTTTACATTTTATCTCATTTTACTAAGATTCCTCAATCTACACAACAAAAGGCTGCCTAAACTTTCTAATGAAAAAGAACATCATTTATAAACCCTCCTACATACAGAGTTTTAGGATAGTGATTAAGATGACTAAATCCACATTCGTGTATTCATGAATAATGTATTTTCCTCAACCTGAGCAAAAGAGCAGCTGTTCTCAGTGTATATCAAAGGATATTTATTTGTATTAGCTTAAATCATTTATATAAACACATATGTCTGAATTCTTGCTCCAAGCTATAAGTGCCAAGAGGCAATCCATTACCATTAGTAATTCTCAATATTTATGTCTATTTCCCATGGGAAAGAACATCCAACTCAGGAATCCATTCCATCAAGTGATGCTTTCCCATGAAGAACATCACACACAGTAGATCTGTAGAAATGACTTATATCCTTTCTTACCAGCACAATTTCACTGTTTAAACCCTGGGTTTGTAACGAATCAAGTCAAATTTTCTTGATGTCAAATACTCCCAGACTTATGCAAAAGTACGTTTTTAGTAAATAAGTCAGTTTTGTCTGGCAGACAACTGGAATGGTCTCACTTTCATGGTCTAATCAAGAGTTGGCAAAATGTCTTAAAAAAATAATCTTAGCACTCTTATGCCATTTATTAAATGAGAAGACTTTAGTTGATAAATCCAGAACATGAACTCCATAAAATTTTTCCTTTCATTCTCCAAAGAGGGATTTCTTAAATTTTTAAGATTTTTAAATACTTAAAAATACATTTCAAGTATTTTTAGAACTTCTACGCAAAAAAAAAAATTTTAAGACATCATCTTCTGCTTAAAAGCAACAAAGAGAGATTCAAGCAAGGTAAAGCTACTTGTAATAACACAAGAGGCGTTTTTCCATCAACACAGGATTCTCACTGACATTAACCCAGAAAAACTGTATCTCAGAATTAAATTGAGAAGAGAAGAGCCAGGACACTCTGGCTGTCGTGGTGTTAATCTATTCACATAAGGTAGCAAATGAGTTTCTTAAAAACTTCCACCTTCTGCCAATAGATTTTCAAAGGAGACACCAATGCTGCTGCTAAGAATACACTCTGATGAGGGCCAGTGCCTCAACCTGTACTTTGGGAAAAGTTGTATATTCATAAATTAGAATTCTGAAATACTAGAAATATAGACCAGAATTCTTATTTGTGCTCTCTATTCTTTTTCTCTAACAGCTGAGGAATTAAATATCTCAGCATCCTGATCATGAATCATAGAAGCAGGTGAGAAATGTGGTCACTTGCGATGTACTATCTCCCGATGAGCTATGACAGGGTTTCCCTACCTAGCAATCCAGTTAAATAGGGATCGAAGAACACTCTGTAAGAAAGCAATGATCTATAGAAAAAAAGGATCACTAGCAAGCTCATCACCACAGTAAGAAATATTCATCCTTGAAAAACAAGATGGCTAAATCACCTCTTTATCATTTATTCACGAAGTACACTCTATAGTTAATGGAAGAGCAACCAGAGGAAAAAAGCAGTATTTCTAAAGAATACTTCAAAAGGGAAATATGCATTGGTGACCCAAAAGAAACTACCCACCTCACCCCAATTTTTAAACTAAAGACAACAAGTATTGGCAAGGATGTGGAGAAACTGGGACCTTTGCACATTGTTGGTGGGAATGCAAAATGGGGCAGAAGTTATGAAACATGAGATGGAAGTTCCTCAAAATTCTAAAAATAGAATTACCACATGACCCAACTAATCCTGCTTCTGGGCATTTATCAAAAATAACCTCAAATCAAGATTTTGAAGAGAAATTAGTAGTATTCCCATGTTCATTTCAGCACTATTCACAATAGCAAAGATGTGGTAAAAACCTAAATATCCACTGGCAGGTGAACAGGTAAGGAAAATGTGGTATCTACATAGAGCGGAATGCTATTCAGCCTTACGAAAGAAAAAAAAAAAAAAAAAAAAAAAAAAGGAAATTCTGCACACAATACACAACAACATGGATGGGCCTTGAGGATGTTATGCATAAGTGAAAAGGCCAGATACAGAAAGACAAGGACTGCATAATTCCACTTCCACCAGGTACCCAGAACAGCCAAATTCATAGATTCAGACTGGACTGGTGGCTACTGGGGGCTGCAAGGAAAGCAAAATGGGGAGTTACCAGTCACTGGGCATGAAGTTTCAGTGAAGATGAAAAAGCTCTACAGATCTGCACAGCACTGTGCCCACAGTCAATAATCCATCGTACACGTGAAGGTGAAAAGGATAGGTCTCATGTGAAGTTATCTTACCCAATGAAGTAGAATTATTAAAAAAAAAAAAAAATACAGGAGATAAAGAGAAGAGTGAAGCTGGAGGCATCTGGCACCCATCTGTAGGCTCACCTCAGTGAATGGCATCTCTCAACCAAAGGCCACATCTTCCTAGAATGAGGAGCCTCACACAGGGATTTACCGGGATCTCCCATTTCCAGTTCCAGTCACTGCTCCCTACCCCCAGCAGAGGTGACACCCCTTTAGGCCCAGTGGTGCTTATCAAACACTGTTAAACCCTTCTCAAATTAAAAAAAAATTGAAACTAGAAACAGGATACCTGCTTGTGTGAATTATGAAAAATCGTACAGGATACATAAAGAGATAGATCTTTTTAAAGATTTCATTTTCCTCTCCTATAAAATTAACTGAACTCACAAAGGAAGAAGATCAAGAGACTTCAGTCTTCAGAAAACAATTTTAAAGAAAATTAAGAAAACTTCCATCAGTGTTTTCTGACTTTCTGGGTATTAGTTTATTTTATATAACTTCACACGGGATCTGTGCTAGGTCCCATATAGAGCAGATGCTCAATAAATACAGACCAGATCACGAGACAGAATCCCACTGTCACCATTTCCTAGAGGGCACCTGAATTTAAGTAGCCAGAAAATCCAAAGACATGTCTGTCTATCCATTTTTCAGAATTCTCTTTCTTAGTATTACACAGTCACAGCATTTAAGAATAGCTTTTGAATTCTCTTATGCCAGGATATTGGGAGGAGGGAAGTGGGCTATAAGTTCTAGAACTTCTGACACACTGAGAGAACTACTGATGAATATTTCAGTCTTAGTTTCATAAACATAAAACAATCCCACTGCTACAAAAAATGCTTTGTAAAATGATACTGTTTTATTTTTTCCCCAGTTACGAAAGTGGGCTCTCATTTATATACACTAGGGCCGGCGGGGGGGTGGGGGGTTGCTGGGTGGCTCAGTCAGTTAAACATCTAACTTTGGATCAGGTGATAATTTTGCGGTTCGTCAGTTCGAGCCCCTGGTCAGTGTGCTGACAGCTCTGAGACTAGAGCTGCTTTGGATTCTGTGTGTCCCTCTCTCTCTGCCCCCACGCCCCCCCCACACACACACTCTCCCTCTCTCGCTTCCTCTCAAAAATAAACATTAATTTTTTTTTTTATATAGACTGGGATATGTTACCAGCTAAATATCTAAGTCCAGGTGAGGAGAATTCTATACAACCGTATTTCTTTCTTTGGTCTAATTTGTTTTTCTTTAAGGTAATAATAGATGATTGGTTCCCATTTAAATGCATATCAGAATAATTATCCACTTAATGCATTTTGTAAAAAAATACTTAAAGAAATAATTCAAGAAATACAAGGCAAATATTTTAAAAACAGATATGTGTACCAATGTAAAATTAGGAAAGTCATTAACTAAAGTATTATTTTATTTATTTCAACTTGAGATAAAACACTTCCTTGCCCAAGTGGCACCTGTGACCAAATACACAAAGTATTAGCTTACAGATTAATTTTCTGATAACAAAGAAATCCTTAAGTAATGAAGCTGCAATTAAATAGAAACAAATATCAAGACAAAAATGGACTGAACATAGACATTTATTAGCTTTTTCTAAAAGAATATTTTTGGTGACTTAAGTCAACAGCAATGCAAATAAATTTTCTACGGAAACGTAGGCCAAGCAACAAAGTATTTCAAGATCGCTTAACAATTATTTCCTTTTGATATTACTTTTATTTACTACCTCAGACCCCACCTTCATAAAAATAACATCAAAAGGAAAAGGAAAACAAGATACAAACAGAGAGGGCGGCATACCATAAGAGACTCTTAAATACAAAAAACAGACTGTGGGTTACCGGAGGGGCGGGGGTGGGGGGATGGGCTAAATGGGTGACAGGTATCAAGGAGGGCACTTGTTGGGATGAGCACTGGGCGTAATATGTTAACTAACTTGAATTTAAATAAATCACTATAAGACATCATTTCGCTTTTGGGAATTTAAAACCCATAAGGAACTAATTATCCTATAGCTTTAAAGGTCCTGAGCAAGACGACCTAATGACACATCACAAAAGAAACTAACTTTCAGATACTTTACTGCTCAAGAAGCATGGTAACAATTTTATTAAAAATCCTCCCATTACAAGTCAGGTATTATTGGTTTTTTCACCCATGAAAAATAAAGGAAATTTTAAGACAAACCCACACACATCACTTAGTGAAGTCAATCATACCGTTAATAGCAAAGCTCTCTATGAAGCGGCTGATGACACTAATTCACTTGGAATTAGCCTGGATCTACAATGCCAAGTTTAAATGAGAGTTTAATGCCAAGCTGCAAGAAACTTGTGTTAATCCTGTTTACACGCCGCCACCTCTACCACCACCACCACCACAAAGCACTGAGGGAAAAATAAAACAAAAACAAAAACAAAACAAAACAAAAAAAAGAAGGAAACATGTCCACTGTAAACACAACCAGGAAGTACAGCAGAGTGGGAACACTTATGGGCACTGAGAGCCACAGGGCTTGGCTCGGACTTCCATCTCCACCCGTGACTGTCTACAGGGACACAGTCATGTTTCTTAACTTCTGTTTCTCAGCTTTTCTGAGTGTAAAGTGAAGATTACAACAATGTACATATTAAAAGAATTAATCTATGTAAAGCACTTAGAACGGAGACAGGCTCTATCAAACACTCAAGGAGGAATAGCGACTTTTTATCACGTTCTTGTGCTACTAACATTAGTCTGGCTGAGTGGCTATCAATCAATAGAAAGATCTGGTTTTTTTAATGGCTTCAATCTGAAGCCAGTTTAGTTTTCTAAAGAAATCATTTGCATCTTTTGTGATAAACTTAAACAGAACAAAATCCAGATTTGATTCGAGGCACTCTATAGGCAAATTATGATTTGCCCTGTTTTAGATACATTGCTTCCTATCATGTGTAAGCAAAGTTACATAAGTTTAAAGATATAAAAATGCTTTTGTTAACCATTATCTCCAAAGTCTGCAGGTGCAAACTGGTCTACTTTTAAACCAGAGTCGTGGTATGTCAGCAAAAATGGAGGGAGGGACCTGAGGCGTTGCACGGCTAACAGACACCTCAGAAACACCTGCTGCAAGGATACCAGAGAGGCGGGCGCCCGGATGGCTCAAGTGGGTTAAGTGTCTGACTTTGAACCATGATCTCACAGTTCATGAGTTCGAGCCCCATGTTGGGCTCTCCACTGTCAGCCCAGAACCTGCTTCGGATCCTCTGTCCCCCCCCGCCTCAGCCCCTCCCTTGGGCACTTGCTCTCTCAAAAATAAACAAACATTTAACAAAATTAATGATAAATAAAAAAGAAGAATACCAGAGGAAGGACCAGCATAGAGGTGACCAGTGTGGGCTCTGGAATCACAGAGCCAGGTCCCCAACTCTGTGCAGGTGCTTGGCCCCTGTGCTCCTTACTGGGCACCCAGCTCTGAGCCACTTTCTCCCTGGGGGTGAGGAATAAATGACACGGTACAATGTAAAGCAAGTGGTTCTGTGCCTTCTATGTCTGACAACAATATTTGCTCAATGAACACAGCACGTGTCGTTTCTGAGACAATTACTGTCTCCATTATCATTACCTGACAGGGAAGCCTGCTATGTGTCCTGCCTTGACTGTGTCATTTAGCTCATTAATGTCATCTACTAGTTTTATTTGAGGCAGACTCTGGTTGTCTGGAGTAGAAATGTGCCATGGCTACCAGGAGGAATTATAAGCTTTTCAAAGATTTATGTGACCAGTGTAACTATGTCAGATGGATTCAAGTATATTTTAGGAGTTACATTTCTCTAAAATGAGTCTGTTTGACAACATATCTGTTGTCAAGACTGCTCTATTTAACCGGAAAGAGTCACTTGTACCACCTAATAATTCACCTTAAAAACAGCACACTGTGGTACCAAACCAAGAATAAGGATGATAATGATGGGGATGATGATGATAAACGTTATTACATACCGGAAGTAGTTCTACATGTGTTCCATGTGTGTTTTCTCACGGGCTTTTCAAAGCAACCCTATAAGGTAGGGACTATTATTACCATCACACAGATGATGAAAGGGAGACTCAGGAAGGTGGTAACTTACCCACAGTCACACACCCAGTATGTGGTAGCAAAGCAAGAGCCCAAAGCAAAAACTGTAAAGATGAAGGGTCTAGACACGTAGCTGTATAGACTGCAGGAACAGGACGGAGGAAATGGGGAAAAAATGATCAGCAAAGTGCTCCTTGCTAAGAAGAGTAACATAGAGGGGCGCCTGGGTGACTCAGTCAGCTAAGTGTCAGACTTCAGCTCAGGTCATGATCTCACGGTTCGTGAGTTTGAGCCCTGTGTCAGGCTCTCTGCTGTCAGTGCAGAGCCTTCATCAGATCCTCTGTTCGCCCCTCTCTGTTCCTTCCCTGCTTATGCACTCTCAAAAATAAACATTAAAAAAAAAAAAGGAACAAGAAGAGTAATGTAGAAATACGCCCTTGAAGAAGTACAAAGGAGGTGGGACCCAAGCTAAAGACAGTTAGGGGGTCTAAGGAGATCTGGTTTTCTCACTTGTCCATTTGTGTTGGTTGGTATGCATGTATGTATGTATGTATGTATGTATGTATGTATTTATGAGACAGGGAGAGACAGCATGAACGGGAGAGGGTCAGAGAGAGAGAGGGAGACACAGAATCTGAAATAGGCTCCAGGCTCTGAGCTGTCAACACAGAGCCCGACGTGGGGCTCGAACTCACAGACCGTGAGATCATGACCTGAGCCGAAGTCGGATGCTTAACCGGCTGAGCCACCCAGGCGCCCCTGTGTTGGTTTTTAAAGGAACACGATATGGACATGTTTGCCGGCCAAAGAGGAAGTCAAAGGCATTCGTACCTTTGACATACATAACATACAAAGCACGATCCTATGTGAGGAATCAAATGAAGGATCAAGACTTCCATAGGGAATGACTATTTTTTCCCTTGAGACAGAACAGGAAGGGAAGAATGAACAAGAAGAAGAGCGGAATGCTACATAATCTGGGGCTAAAGAGTTTTGAAAAACGGTACAGGAAACCGAGAATGCTCATGACTACAGCTTCTACAATCAGTGCCCCACCCAGCAGAGGGCATCTGAGCAGAGAGGCTGGGGTTCCCAGGGGCTCCAGAAGACCAGGAATATTTTAACAGGAAAGGAGGTAAAAGCACTGCCTGGTAGCTCTGAGGGTCCAGCTGACACAAGAAATAATCTATCTGTAAAGGCACTAATCTGGAGTTGTGCAATTTTCCCTTACAAAAAGCGAGTGCGTCCATCGGAACAGCTGTGCTGTTTAAGGCAGAGCTCTACAGCACTGGTATAGAAGTGGGGAGGTCGAGACACAGAGACCAGCAGGCTGATGGGCACAAAAGGCAAGTGGTTAGAACCTCCCGACACAGTAGCAAAGGGACAGACCCCAGGGTTTTGGCTGGCTGGGGAAAGAAATTAAACAGGAGAGAGCTGGTAAGAACAACAAAATGAAGCCAATGGTGAACGATGCTGGCCAGAGAATGGCAGTTGGATTTGAAGAATGCGCTTCTAGAAGGGAAGGCATTTGTAGTCAGAAAGTGGAGTCCGGGACCACTGTAGAAACAGACCAGCTGTGAGTGACAATGAGGCACAGCCAAGGAGATCTGGCACCGAGGAGAAGCAAAGAATCATAAAATAGGGTGTTGCCGCATCTGCCCCTGTATCCACAACCACCACTTAATACGTACAGGGTACCAATAGCTGTTCTCATTAAGTCTAAGCTGTATCATTAAAATTACCTGTAGAAAGTATGATGTTCCACGCACACTTTCCATAGCCTTTTTGCTGCCCGATGGTTTGGCAGTTTGAATCCAATGGTGCTCTCAAATTGTTCGAGCTAGAATAAATCAATAAGGTAAATCAGTAAGATAAAGGAGTTGATTAGAAGCCACTGAAATCATGAATTCAGATGTTTCCGTGAGGGGTAATTCTTCTTGAAGAAAGGAGATACTAGTATGTATATCCAGTATGATTATACAGAATGGATTTTTCATAGAACTCAATACTAGTTTCTGTGAAAACCAAGTGCAACTGCTGACTTTAAGCAATGTCCACAACTCACCCTACCACCTTATCACTTAGTTGATTCAACAACAACAAAACGGGCCCCCACTATGTAGCAGGCACTTACAACTTTCTCTTTTCTGTTAAAGGTGTAGCTCTTACTTTTTTAGCAACATGGATATACATGCAGGTTGATTATTAAGAACTCTGACCGGGGCGCCTGGGTGGTGCAGTCGGTTAAGCGTCCGACTTCAGCCAGGTCACGATCTCGCGGTCCGTGAGTTCGAGCCCCGCGTCGGGCTCTGGGCTGATGGCTCAGAGCCTGGAGCCTGTTTCCGATTCTGTGTCTCCCTCTCTCTCTGCCCCTCCCCCGTTCATGCTCTGTCTCTCTCTGTCCCAAAAATAAATGAACGTTGAAAAAAAAAAAATTAAAAAAAAAGAACTCTGACCTTATTTGCCATGAAAAAATAAGGAATAGTGCATTTTATTAAAATTCACTGGGAAAAAAATGAAGTCAGCTGACAGCCATAAAGAAGAACACTGACCGAAGCTGTTTAGATATGCCCAGGCCTACGTGACACTGCTTACCTCTGCTGGCCTAACTTTAATGTAGAAGTTACTGCGCTTATAGGAAATTTTCAAGATTTTCGGCCAAGCAAAACGATTGATTCTCAGTCTGTCTTTGTAAATGAGAAGCCCGTTAGCGCACACACCCAGCTTGATGTCCACGCCTTCCGAGTCCTGCCAAGTAGAAGCCATTTGACCGTGGTTAGAGCTGTCCAAGTTTCATGGGTCAGGAAGCTCATCATCTCCCCCCACCCCCTTAAACCATGACCCGGAACGCCAATTTAACAGGTTGGTATTTAAATATCAGTGACAGTATGTGAGTTAATAGAAACAGGGCACGTAACACATCTTCAATCTCTTATCTCCTAGGATCAAAATTCGATTTGTCAAAGAGTTATAGCCACCTGACTACAGGACACAATATTCTCCAAAAGGCATAATTTCTGTGTTCCCAAGCTTGCCTGCAAGAGCTGCTGGGGAAAAAGGGAAAGAGAGCTCAATTTAGACATCCTGAAGAGATAGGGTTTTCCTGGAGACTATCCCAGTCCTTGGGGACACCCTGTCAGCCCAACTTAAGGTGCATTCAGACATTTTACTTTAGGCAAATTTATTTCAGATGGGCTATGCTAACTAATGGCTGTTAAAATCACGCCTCTATTCGGCAAAACACCAATCCCTCACAGAAAATTTCTCTTTGAATCTCTGAATTCTTCCGAGTAATTTTTCAATAAATCAGAGTGCTGACATCCAGTCCCCGTTATAGCATTCCCATCGCTGGCATTTCAATGGACTGCAAACTAGTCTTGAATTTACTCAAACTGTTTTCCCTCCCCAGCATTTTAACTTGGAATAGATGAAAATTTACAATAATCACAAGCCTAAAGGATTTTTAAAAACCAAATAAATTTACAGATAAAAGTGACATAGTGTCTCCTCACATTTCAAGTAATATTGAGGACCCAATACTCAAAATAGACAGATCACTGACTTTCAAGGGAAGAACTGGATCGCATTCACGACATATAAAATTGAAAACATTATTCAGAGACATTCATATTTTCAGAAATCACTTATGATATGGAACAAATTCTCACCAAGCCTGCTGAAACAAACACCATATTTAATCTAAGTCTCAATTCAACAAGAATGCAACATTTCGACTACCTTGTTACTGAATCATCTAGAACAAGTCATATTACTTTTTTAAAAATAGAAGTATAGTACTAAGTCACTGATGCCAATTGCTTTCTCTGCTGCCACACTTGGATAATTCATATGTACAGGTAAAATGACATTAGACAATCCCAGCAGGTTTAAAAATTTAATCTATAGGGTGCTTTATTCACCCAAATCTGGCAGCCCCAATTCTCTCTAGGAACAGAGAAACAAAGCTGGGATGAATCCGGCACAGGTGCCCAAGCAACTTGGCACCAGACAGAAATGTTGTTTTCCAGAAACATCATGGCCATGGCCACAGGAGCAAGCCGGAAGGCTGCCCAAGACAGTATGTTCTCACCACAAGTAAGGAGGCAACGCAGACTTGAAACACTGAACAAAGTCATCTCTAGTCTGAAGCAATCTTTAGGCAGGACACTGGAGCTATTTTATCGGATTTAAGAATAAACACAATCTGGAACCAAGTAAATCGGTTCATTTTCAGTTGTTGCACACATTGCTTCAGAATTCTCAGTATCTGTGTGAATACAAATTACAGATGAAGAGTAACAAATGAAAGAGAAAAAGCATGCCTTGGTCCTCCATATTTGACTTCTGCCATTCAGCAACTAAGTCAGAAAAAATAAACTAATAAAAAAGGAGCACCTTCTGTCCCTTATTCACTCCCCCTGAGGAAGCTGCCACATATGGGTGGCAATAGGGATCCCATGCCCTCGGACTTCTAAATGGGTTCAGTCTTGGGAAGCTCTTGCAGAAGATGAGAGAGAGAAGAGAAGAGGGAAGGGAGGTCAGCGAGGTGTCCCTGTGACAATTGTGGCTCCCTTGAAGACAGTGTTCTCCACACACAGATCTCTCCTTCTGGGTTCTGGCAACCACTCTCTGCCCTCACCCCTTCAGACCCAGAGGAGTTGGGAGAGTGGCTGGTAAGAGCTCAGAGCTATCACACTAATCTTGGGGTTCCCCTGTACCTGCATGTCAAGAGTACTTCCATTCAATGCTCTTCAACTTGTCCTAATAGCAGTGTGCCATGAAAAGCTCTTAGTAAAAAATTTTTAAAGATGTACTTAAATATGATCAAGACAACAAAGATGAAACTTTGATGAAAAGTTCTTTTAAATTGCTACAGACTTTCTTTGCAACAACCGACAAACATCTTCCTTATCAAATATCATCGGAGTGTATCAGATGACAAACAGGATGAAGAGATGAAGGTTACTCTGAATTTTTTTCAAAAAGCAATCTGCTTCTAATCACACACCAGGAACAGAAACTACGCTTAAACAGACCCACAACTTTTTTACTTTTCTAAGGTACAATTTTGAAAATGAGAACTGTGAAACCTTGTAGTACTGCCATCTAAGAATTGGTTTCTAACTAGCGATCAACATGTAGATTTGCATGTAGCCAGAGTAACAGGGTTTAGAAGAGCAGAGACCTGAGGTCTCTTTGGTCCCAAACCCATTCTTCTCCTGCCTCCCCGGTTTGGATTTCTCGGCCGAGCCAGCCCGTCTCCATCACAGAGAAACAAGCTGAAAAACACGCAATGGTAGGAAGTCCCATTTCACCTCCTAGAATTTACCACAAGAAATGAGGCAGATATGGGAATGCTTAACAACACGTGGCTTAGGCAAATCATTCTCTGCACTCTGTTTTATGCAGTTGTAAATAAAAACAGTCAAGTCTTAAATCTTAAAAAAGCACATGGAAGGACCTGTAAGAATTAAAAGTGTATAGCACCCAGCAGTTAAAAATGATGTCAGAGACTATTTACTGACGTGGAAAAATCTTTCATCAGAGCAAGCAACAAAACAAACAACAAAAAATTCCTCACAAACTGATACCTATAGTGTGATCCTACTGAAAAAAATGCACGAGTTCTAGTGCTCAGAGATGTTTTTTTTAAAGAAAACAAGAAAACGTATCAAAAAAGCAACAGTGCCTATTTCCAAATAGAGAGAGTTCAGCGGTTTTTGTTTTTTTCCTTCTGTTTGCTTCTATTTTCTATGATGCATATGTAGGTCTTTTGTAACCAGGAAAAACAGTCAAATAAAGGCAGCCACGGAGGAAAAAAAGAGAGCGGTGCAAACATGAAGTACTATGTAAGTACGAAGCAGGAATGATTCACCCAAGGCCCAGGGAGGGAAGAGATCTTTGGATGGAGGGGCTTTCCAAGAGATTTCTCCAATCATAAAATCCAAGGTTCCTAGGCCCCATCCATCTAGGGAACCGTTGGTTCTCTCCGCATGTGGACCCTGGACACACTTTTCAAAACCACACCCATCTTTCACCTTACCTCTTACTCTCCTCCTTGACTCTCCTCACTGTGTGATCACCCGAAGTAGTGTCAGGAAGCACATAATGTTTATTAGTGGCATCTTCCCAACCCAAACCCTCTCTCCTATCACCTAGTCCATCATTCTGCCCTCTTCCCACCTCTCCAATTAGGCTGCGGGGGTTGCATCCCCTGGGGCCTGGGCCAGTCTCTTTCATCTTGCGAATGGTACAAAACAGGCCCGCAGAGAGGAGCCTGACCCTCAGGCTCCTTCATTAGCCAGAGGGTTTTTCAGAAGCGGTCCCATCCACACTGCACTGGCCCTTTCTTTGGATCTGCAATCCACTTCCAAGACAGGGATGGGAGAAGGGGTGGGGAGAGGCATCACCTGGCACAGCAAAAGGTGGGGATGCAGAAGAAACCAGGACGGTGGGGGGGGGGGGGGGGAGATGCTTGACAGGTGAGTCTCAAGGTGAGTCCATATGAAAGGGTGTTAATTGAAAAGATTGAGAAAGAAGTAAGGGGGCAGAGGAGAGAAGGAATGCTCCTTTCCATAAGCACAAACCCCACAGTTAGTCACTAAAGAAATATTATAGAGACCCTTGGGTGAGGGTGAATAGCCTTTTCCTAAAAGTGAGCTAGGCCACTGTGAAACTGGAGCCCTTTCAAAACCGTCAACAGACTGGAAAGATGCCACTTCCCATTACATTGACAGTACCTTGGCATGATGTAGGTCAACGCCATACATGGAGAGCCTCTTTGCATTTTCTAAGAACTGAGAATCAGCTTGTGCTGGAGATAAGCCCCTGAGGATCAAACGAAACAATATTATTTTATTGGCAGCTGCAAAGCAAACGTGGCCCAGATAGGAAAGGAGTGTATGAGCTCAGAGGGTTTAGGGTAGAGCAGTTAACCCCTCACAATTTACAGATAAGCAGGGAACAGGTAAGAAGGCTCAACTCTCAACCTCTAGAAGTTTCCTCATAGGATCCTCTACTCTAAATCTCTACCCTTCCTTTCTATCTCAGAGAATTGTTTTCAATGGTTTTCCCAGTGGGGAAACGGGTACAACATAAATTCCATGAGAATAAAAAAGTGATTTCATCTTTCCAAAAATGGCAAATTCTTACTTCCCACTCCTTAATTTTATTTCGGCAGGATTGATCACAACACAGATCAGAAGTCCCTGTATTTGACTTTACACCTATGGTAGATAATGCAGCTCACACCCGGTCCATAACTATTTCCATTCCTGTCTCTATTCACAAGTCAACAAATTTTAGGCTCTAAGAGAGCAGGACCGTGTCCCATTCATCTTCATAATCCCCAAAGAATTTCAGCACCTGATATTTCAAATTCAAATTATACAATAAATACCTATGGAGAAGAACCGGAATAAAGTGAAAGTGAATATAAGAAATACTGCTGTCAATTACCCATGCATACAGCATCGAATGTGGCCTGTTTAAAAACCTCTAATCTTTCAAAGTTCCCCTCCAAACATTTTTGTCGAACTCTTATAAAATCTCAATGTTGCAATATGGGGCAAATTGTAATTTTGTAGCGAGAGTTTGTCAACTTGGGCTAAAAACACATTTATTTTCACAAAGATATAGAAGATCTCAAAGCGTAATATGGTACTTAATACGGTATTGAGTAAATCAGTAAAGTTTAGCTACTAAAAGCAAAACTCATCTTGTGGATAGAGAAACCACCTATATATTTCATGTCCATCACTACCTACACTTCTGATTCAAACCCAGAAGCCTAGCCCTCTAGCTTTATCGGATAAAAAACAAAAGGCAGGCGGCGCCTGGGTGGCTCAGTTGGTTGAGAGTCCATTTCTTGAGTTTCGCTTAGGTCATGACGCCAGGGTTGCGGAATTGAGCCCCGCATTGAGCTCTACACTGAGCATGGAGCCTGCTTAAGATTTTCTCTCTGCTCTACACGGAGCATGGAGCCTGCTTAAGATTTTCTCTCTCTCCCCTCCTCTGCCCCTCTTCCCTGCTATAAAATAAAATTTAAAAAAAAAGGGGGAGGAGGTGGGCAGAAGAAATACGTATTAAGTGCCCAAACAAGTATGGGAGTATGTCTGTTTTATGTGCCCAGGTTCGGAGGGAGGAAGAGGGAGATGTCACAGGGAGAAGTAACTTTTTCCAATAAATGAAAACATTCAGGATCATGAGCACTGTTGTTCACGTTATAGTTGTGAACACAACGAAAGGCGATCTCAAGGCTACAGGTTGTCTCGTTTAATACTAGGTGAGGCTCCAAAAGGAAACACTAGATAATCCCGTAAACAGTGCTCGGATGTCTGGCAAGTGTCAGAAGAGAAGCTGTTTCAATCCCCTGTGGCTATTCTCTCCCCAGCAAGCAAGTCACCAGACCTGTGGGTTTTATGCAGCTCTGCCACCTTCTCTTCCAGCTCCTTCATCTGTGTGGGGGCAAACTGGAAGTCACTGAGGTCACTGCTGCCATGTTCTTCTGGATCATAGTCCCCAAGTTCAGCCTGCAGCGTGTAGGATCCCAGGAGGGCATGAGTCACAAATGAGCAGGGCAGGCGGCCGGAGGCAATGTCCTGCCGGAGCTGAAGGCACAAGAAGTATCTGAGGGGCAAGGGGGAGAGGAGGGCCGGGAAGAAATCCATTAGGATGCAGCACCAATGATCTTTGAGTTCCAGTATTCCTCTGAAAACAGACGAGAAGGCAATGCCTTATGTCCACAGCAAAAATCGTCTTCTCTAATAAGAAGTCCACCTTGTTTCTTGGGCTCCTAACCCATGGGAATTCTGAACTGCTATTCTGGTCACAGTGTATTTATCATCATCATCATCATCATCATCATCATTAAGAGCTTTGTGACTGAAGATAAAAATCGTAATCACTTAGACTTGTCTCCGTGGATTTAAAACTGGCATCGAAATTTACATGTCCCTCAAAAGTTGCAAAGACTAATGAAAATTTAAAAACAGCTGCAGTTCTTAAGCATTTGCAAGAAGAGCTAAGGTCACCCACCCTTTATTCTTTCTAGCCTTTTCATACCAATTTCTTCCATTCCTCAGACGCCTTGAACAACTGTAAGTCTTTAAAGCCCTTACACTTGCCCATTTACTCCATCTACAGAGACAGTTCAATTTATAACAGAAAAAGCATGAGCTTCTGGGCCAGGCACAGCTGACTCTGTGCAACCTTGAGCTAGTGAATTTGCTCGTCTAAGGCTAATTCCCTACTTGTCAAATGAGAATTCTTCCGCCCTTTGAAGGAGAGGATACGAATTAGATAACATAATCAAAACATACCGCATGTTACCTAGGAGTCAGTAACTAATAGACATCATCATCATCATCAATCATAATTATGTTATTAACTTATTAAATAGTTCTTATTCAATGTTTCAAGTGGTTTTACTACAGTTACTTATAAAAGTTTCCATTTCCACTAGATGACGTGCGGAACCATGTTATTTACATTCTATGAGGATCTGGGGTCGGGGGGCACTACCAGCTCCTTTGCTGACATTTGAAAACCTGATTTCTACTCGTGACTTCAACTACTTGCTAATAAGATTACCATCAATCCCTGCAAACTAAACAGCCCCTCACTCTTGAAGACCTTTTCGACACTGCCATTTCCATTAGCAGCTGGCCACTCTGTCTCTTTGCCAAGCGTGGGGCACAGTTAGCCAAGAACTTGCCACGTAGCAAGTGCTCCAAGATCTTCTGGCAGAAGGGAAGTCATCTCTCTGGCACTACGGTCTGAGGATTTTTATGCACCGCAGGAGCTCTCTAAGGAGGATTATGTTCCTTTGGTCCCTGGAACACCACAAGCAGAACTGCATTACTTTAGAAAAGTCCATTTTAAACTAGGATTCCAGGGTATCCTCTGATTCTCTAAGTCTGACTGAGAACCGTGCCAGTTCTCCACATTTCGTGACACTTTGAAGACCTAAACACCCAGATTTTCCACCTACTACTCAGATCTTGTTGTTCCGTTTGAGACTATGGTCTCGACTTTTCACATTGGTCCTGTCCTGTTTTCAAAGAGAAGTCGAAAGCCCAAAACCTTCCAACAAAAACTCCAACAGGTTCCTGAATTTCCCAGCTCCCTCTTCACATAGCAGGAGCCAGCGTTCTCAAACACTATCCTGAACACTGCAACACTTCTGCAAACACCACTCTTGCACTCCTCAAAAGCCACCTCATCTTAAGTTTTCACTCAAGTCATAGTGAAGATTTCACTCATGATACTTAGGCCACCAGTCCAAGCAGGTGGCTGGTGTCAGGCTGCCTGCTGAGGCTTTTAGTGTTTAGCTCACCAAACTATCTCCTTTCTCTCACCACACACGGCGAGACTATTCAAGCCCCATTTAAAGGAAAAACCAAAGCACTTACCGATGCCATAAGTCGCAATTACCAGAGGATTATCATCTCCCGAACAAATTACTCCAAGAAGTGTGTGTAGAGAGAGGGTGCTAGTGCACAAGCCCCAACTGCAATGTTCGAAGGCATTCCTGTGGTGACGCTGTGTATCCAGAGCAACCAACCTATCCGGTTTTATGCTCCAAAGCAGCTTGAGGTGCAGTTACAAAAGCTTATCTTTACTATTTACTAGCTGAAGTTAATTCAACCACAGCTTACTATCAGAAGACCGCCATTTAGCAACAAGTAGCAAAGGCGGGGTGGGGGTGGGGGGGTGTTGGTTAGGGGCAGTGGGGAAGGCTTGTTATTTACTCCATCTTGGAAAGAAATCTCCACGTGGGTATCATGCACTCTTAAGCACCAACACAACCTGATGTCTGCCAAAACTGGCCTAGCAGAAAGCATCAAGGGCTCAGGAACCACAGGAATGAATCAAAAGCAGTCTTTCAGCAAGACCTCTGGTGTTCAAAAAGTATATTCTGAACACACTTCTCCTTGGCCATGTAACGTATGCACTTATTCTCACCAAAGCTAATAAGTCCTATCACTGGTAACCCAGCTGAATAGGGCTAATATACCAAGGCACTTGTGGACTCAAATGCTCCTTGGTTACTATTCAAACACTCAGGCACTCTCAGAATCAGTAAATGCTCCCTTGCTCCTCAACTGAATCTTTTATTTGCAACTTAAGTATATGTTTGTATGGCCCAGACAATCTCAAAGGAGATGGAAATGAAACAGCTATTGGCTAAGAAAGCCTACCTTATTAGTTTTTTTTTTTCTACTTTGAAATAGGAGGCCCCTGGAAATATAGTTCAATTGGCTTTTTAAGTAATTTCATTTTTCTACCCTATATCACCTTTGTGATAGGAGACTAGCACACAGGTACACAAGGGTTATACAACAAAAAACCATTTTAGTATTAATCTGAAATATTAAATATCAATGATTTTTGTAAGTGTAACGTAAGAAAGTTGCCAGCAGTATAATTTTTTTAATATTCTATTACTCAACTATAAATGGAGAATTTAAAGTAAAAAAACAAATTTTGAAACTAGAAACATTTCCAACCATTTTGGAGTACGCTCATTTCCAAGGAACTTTCTAGAATTCAACTTATGAAAAAATATTTTGGCTTTAATCCTGAAATTACCATTATTCTCTCAGGGCACAGAGATAAATGAAAGCTCTAAGTAAAAATTTGTTTTAAAATGTAAGTATAAAGTACCTGGTGATATCTTCAGTCAACTGAGAAGGATCAGGAGGATAAAACTTCACATTAAAGGTGAACAGCCAAGGAGGATCTGTAATTATTAAATGTGGGTATTTACCCAACCAGCAGAATGACCACTTATTTTGATAAAAATTAAAGGTTAATGTTCAAACAGCACATACTACTTCCACTATACGTCAGTTCGGAGAGTTTCATTGTTTGATTTTGAGAAAACGATTTACAAAAACAAAACAAAATATAAAAATTATACAAATAACCCACTATGAAAGAAAAACAGATTCCCTTTTTTTAAATAAACACTTACTAATACTTTCAATGTTTTGTATGGTGATATATTATGCAAAAATTTCAATAACCTATATGTAATCATTCTGAAATAAGATTTGTTTTAACCATAGACTCTCCAGATGCCAAATATCTCCTACTGTTTAAAGAGAAAAAAAAAAAAAAAAGTATTTTAGGATTTACACATTGTTGACAGAAGGGAGATAATGATCAATTGATCACTACAGCTATTCAAGAAACTGATTAATGGTCTCTTAATCCCATAACGAAATCTCAAAGAAGGGAGTAGTAAAACATCACAACACTTTATTTTTATTTATTTATTTTTTTTAAGTTTATTTATTTTCAGACAGAGAGAGTAAGGGAGGGACAGAGAGAGAGGGAAAGAGAGAATCCCAAGCAGAGCCTGATGTGGGGCTTGAACCCACAAACCATGAGATCATGAGCCAAAACCAAGAGTTGGACACTCAACCGACTGAGCCACTTAGGTGCCCACACAATACTTTTTAATAGTGTTTATTTATTTATTTTGAGGAGGGAGGGGCAGAGAGAAAGAGAGAAGCAGAGAGGGAGAGAGAGAATCCCAAGCAGGCCCTCACTATCAGCACAGAGCCCGACGCGGAGCTCGAATTCACCCGTAAGATCATGACCTAAGCTGAAATCAAGAGTCAGATAGACACTCATCCGACTGAGCCACACAGGCACCCCAAACATCACAATACTTTAAGACAATAAAATTATTCCCAGGTTTATAGAGTAGGTGTAAGCATACTCCTATAGAGCATATGCTTGGGCTGCATTGTGCCACAGAAGTGAATATAACAACCATCAGAAATGACTTATTAAAAGTTAAAACATTTCTATCTCTGCACTAATAGTTTAACTGATGTTTGATATGTCATACTTTGGATAGCTTTAAAGAAAAGAAAGAAAAAACACACAACTCTGGGCAGAGGGCAAGTATTATTTTCCTAAATGGATCCAAATAAATCCACTGGCCAGAATTCAGGGTTATGCTCAAAGTTCCTAGTATTTCTAAATAGAAACAAAGTATGTTCATGGTATTTCATTCCAACCACATTTGAAGGCCTCATGGTTGCTTTATTTCAGGGACTTGAAGAAAATTTTACTGAACCCCATTCTCTTTTCCAGCATGTCCTTTTGTTCTCTTCTCGCCATGAGTACCCTAACTCCTCTCTCAGAAGTCAACCCGTATGTGTGGAATGGCTGCTAAGAACACACGTGCACCTGTATTGGATTTAGGTTCAGTGCCTCACCATTCCACTTCCAAAGCCAATCCTGAATTTCAGTTCTGTGTCACACATTTAAAATATCATAGGGGCGCCTGGGTGGCTCAGTGGGTTGAGCATCCGACTTCAGCTCAGGTCATGATCTCACAGTTCGTGGGTTCAAGCACCGCATCAGGCTCGCTGCTGTCAGTGTGGGACCCGCTTAAGATCCTCTGTCCCCGTCTCTCTGCCTCTCCCCTTCTTGTACACGTGCTTGTTCTATCTCTCTCAAAAAATAAAAAACATTTTAAAACGCCTTTGAATAAATAAAAACAAAACAAAACAAAAACACAATAAAATAACATAAATGGGATATAGGACTTTCCTGAAGAGTGAGACTTCCCTGTCCTATATATAGTGCCATGCTGGGCGGGAATATGCACTTCTTCAGGGGGCTGCTAACCTATAATTAAGCTAAGTCACCATAGGATTATCACTTCCTAATGGATCCTTATTTTTTGTTTTCTGGGTATTAATTAACAAGAGCACGTGCTTGCCTGGATAGGACTATAGGGATGAGTTTCTAATAGAACACTTATATTTTAGCCCTAGTAATGCTATACTTTAGGGGTGCCTGGGTGACTCAGTCAGTTGAGAATCCAACTCTTGATTTCAGCTCAGGTCATGATCCCACACTTGTGGGATCAAGCCTCAAGTAGGGCTCCATGCTAAGCATGGTATCTGCTTAAGATTCTCTCTCTCTCCCTCTCTCCCTCCCCTGCTCAGGCTCACTTACTCTCTCAAAAATAAATAAGTTAAAAAAAAATGCTAAACTTGGGGTGCCTGGATGGCTCAGGTGGTTAAGTGTCTGACTCCTGATCTCAGCTCAGGTCCCGATGTCAGGGTCGTGAGTTCAAGCCCCATGTTGGGCTCTGCATGGGTGTGAAGCCTACTTAAATAAAAACAGAAAATTAAAAAAATATATATATATAATATATAATATATATATTATATAGTATATATATTTTTACCTAGCTATACATGAACAGTCTATGGATCATGTATATAGCAATCACATGCAGGTCTTATATATATAGTCTGATTTGTGTACATCTGAAGAAAATTTCAAGGCAAATTTTAAACAGGAACCAATAGGCTGTTGGTTTTCAAAAGTAACTGAAAAAAAGATTAATGTTTACCTTTGCTAATTGCCCATTAACTGAAAAGTAACAATAAAAGCCTGGCATTGGCTGGGTGTGAAGATAAAACATGCAGTTCTTTCGTCCACTTTAACACAAGCAGAAAGGAAGAGGTCAAGGCAAAAGCTAAGACTTCATGTTTCCAGCCTACTTGCACCATCAGGACAGGACAGGATTCCATTTAGAAACTAGCTCCAAATCATCTGAGAAAGCCAGATCCTACTTGTTACTGTTATCCCTCTTGCCAAACCACAAGGGCAAAAGTCCTGAATAACTCTAAAAAAACTTCAGAAACCATCAAAACACAAGACCATGATTCATAATCAGCAGGAGTCTTGCCTTCCAAAAATCAGCAACCTCCATGGCTCTGAAACTAATGTCATACGAACATAATCAAACAAAAGCCAAAACAAAACTATAGGAAACAACTCAATGGAACATCAATCAGGTTTCAGCGGTTATACTATTCTGTGGTTTGGGTCACTTGGAAGCTCTGGTTTCAGATAAAGTGAAAAAACCAGGCATCCGTACCTTTCCGAATTCACGCACTCTACAGTTGTGTAGGACAACCATACAAAAGACAAGGGAAAAGTGCCAAGGCTCTCTGATACACCGTGGAAGCAACTGTAAACATAACATTTCTGTGTCTAACCATTTTTTTTTCTCCCCTTTTCCATTATGAAGCAAGTATAAATAGATGCAACACCCAGATAATAAATGCAAGCGGAAAGAGGAGGGCTGCTGGAAAGCCTGGGACAATAGTCAAGAGACAGAGTGACCAACCATTCCAGGTTACTTGGGACTGTTTGAGTTTTAGCACTGTAAGTCTGACATCCTGAGAGACCCCTGTCCAGGGCAAATCAGGAAGGTCATTCTCTTCAAAAATACTTTTTTTTTTTTTTCCCCTGAAGGAAAAGAGGAGTCTTCAAGGAGAAGAAATGGGCAAAATAAGGTAGAGGCTCAGAATTTCAAACAGGAGCAGAGAAGGGAAGAAAGGATAGGAAAACTACCGAAAAGATTAATGATTTCAGGGAAAAAGAAAACTGATGTGGAGTGCCTAAAGTGAGAGAAGATAGATGGTAAGGAACATAAGGGAAACGCACAGATTTGTTCTGGTGTGTTGATGCCAGGAAGAGTAAGTAGGGGGAGGAAAGCAAACAGCCTACTCTGGGGAGGCCGGCGCTCAGGGAAACGCTTTCTCCCACGACAGCTCTGGGGGCCCCCGGTCCAGAAGGGCTGCTGAGAATCCTGTTCTCCTGTCTGAAAATTCCAGCTGTTCATGGCCCTCTGCCTTTTCTGCCTTGGTCATCCACCTGCCCGGAAGTCAACTAAAGATCCAAATCCTCCAGAGACTTTTCTGTGGTGATGATATCTCCTGGCACAGACATCTGAAAGCCAGGCACAGGCAAGACCAGGGCCTGTGGAGGGAGCTGGAGCTGGTGAGGGGGAGACCCCGAAAGTCACTTTGGGAGGCTGCCATGACAGCAAACAGGCAACGGAAGAAAGGGCCAAGCCGCACTGACTCGAAACCCAGACTCAAAGAGCACACAGCACGGCCCTGAGTGGTGGAACGACGTTGGAGTTGGAGAGAAGGCAGTGACTGCAGAGGATGGAAGAGATGACTCTCTGTGCTTTTCCGCCCCGAGTCTGCGCTCCAGTACATCTATGAACAGTGAGTGTGTCTATGCCTCTGGGGCCAGAGACAAGCCTGTTAATTAAACTAATTACACACTTCCAAAACAAAGCAGACGAAGCAATGGTAACTGGTCGCCTGGAGTAAAATTTACAGCAACAGTGAAAGTTACAGACAAGCAACGTCTACAGCAGTAGACAGACACCGTGAGGGAATATTTAGGACCAGAAGGTTAGGACCTCTAGACCAGAAGAGTCCCGAAGCCACGCACAAAATAAAGTCACGAGGCAAGAAAAATACCATTTCCTCAACTTTGTATATGATATACATGCAAAATACAGCTGATCATTCCATCGTGATTTTAGTAGTCCAGTCTACATTCCTCTGAATTTGATTAAAGACAGAAATAGATATAAAGATGAACTCGGAAGTATGATTATTTAAATACTCACTTCGTAGCTGTCTCTTTATTTCTTTTGCAGGATCTAGCCAGTTCTACAGGGGGAGGGGAAAAAAAAAAAAGGTTAATTAAGCCATAAAACATACTCCAGAGTCCAAAACGGAACAGTTTACAGTTCACACACTTGAGTGTAAACATAAATTCCTATTCAAAGCAGCTTTCACCCATTAGCATTCCACGGGCTAAATATTGATTTGTTTTTGAATGTGTGTGTTATAAATAAAACATTAAAACACTTTTGAGGTGGGTCTCTTGGGCCTCATTTTCTTGGATCTGAAATCAAATATCTATCCAAATGATTAGATACAATATATCTACACAGTCTTTGTTCCATAGAATTCCAGCAAATGGCCCCTGTGGACAGTGAAATGAGAGCCTCTGTCAAGAACGTAATTGGCTCTTAAAAGTGTATACATCCCAATCAAACACAGTTATCTCAACTCCTAAAGCCAACTTCTCCTCAAACTTTCTTTTCCCCCATACCATACAATGCTACCGAGAATACCATCAGATTGGAACTGATCGTTTCCTTCCTGCTCTTCATATAACATCCTTTTTAAACTTCATGCCAAGTTGCAAGTCAAATCATAAGGAACTCCCTTTCACTTCCCCCCTTTCTACCCTTTGAGAAAGTTAACAAGATTCTAGGAAACTACTATAATATCTTAAAGCAAAAATCACCAAATTTGAACTACTAAGTTCAAACCACCTGAGGACATTAAACATTTGTCTTTTCAAGTTATCAGCAAAGATCCATCCAAAAAAACTTTTATGTAATTTTTGTCTCTTTTTTTTTTAAACTTCTCCCACCTTATCCTTAAGTCAAACCTCTCAATTAAAGTTTACCCTACTTGGGGGTGCCTGGGTGGCTCAGTAGGTTAAGTGTCTGACTTCAGCTCAGGTCATGATCTCGCGGTCTGTGGGTTCGAACCCTGCGTCGGGCTCTGTGCCGACAGCTGAGCCCGGAGCCTGCTTCAGATTCTGTGTCCCCTCTCTCTCTGCCCCTCCCTTGCTCATGCTCTCTCTCTCTCTCTCTCTCTCTCTCTCTCAAAAATAAAGAAACATTAAAAAAAAAAAAGTCTACCCTACTTCATCTTCACTAACACAGGAGAACAAATACATTTTTTGAGATACAATTTTTTTTTTTTGATTGAAACAGTTGAGCCTTGAACAATGTGGAGGTTAGGGGTGCTGACCCCCATACAGTCAAAAATCCACATATAAATTTTAACTCCCCCAAAACTTAACTACTATAAGATTACTATTGACCAGAAGCCTTACCAATAACATAAAGTCATTTAATGCATATTTCGTATACTATATACAGTATTCTTAAAAACAATAGAAATTCTTAAATTTAATTCTTAAAAAGAAAAGAAAGTGTTAAAATCATGAGAAAATACACAACTGTACTGTATTTACTGAAAGAAAACTGCGTGTAAGTGGATCCGCACAGTTCAAACCCACGTTATTTAAGGGTCAATTATAATTGGCTTTACAAGAAACAAGTTTCATTCATTCCAAAAGTATCCAAAGTAACGTACTGTAATATCTGTGCTTAAACAGAATTTTCTTCAGATGTATAAAGCAAACAATGAAGATGTTTGTTGTTAGGTAGAAAATAAGAGCCTTCTGTCTTAACAATATATTGAACTGGTCAACAGAACATTAACTTAACACTATTTAAAAGTAGTAACAGGATGCCTTGAAAACAAAGCTGCATGGACCCCTGTGGGTTTTACTACACGACTCATGGCTTGCACTCAGCAGCAAGGATCTAAGGTGGGCATGTCCTACACTAACACTGGCTATATTCAAACGTCTCAATAAAGAGCTACCAGAGCTTGGTTGGGTTTCCTATTACTGGTGTCCCAGCTGCATGGCCCATTGATGTGAAGGGCCAGCAGGCGCTCCAATGGTACCTCCAGTGCTATGTCGGGGAGCAGCTCTAATTCTCCCCTTAGAAAAAAGCCTGGCATTCAGCTTCCTTGCCCGGCAGCTGCTGTCCCCACAACAGCTGGCTCACAAATGGCCGGCTATGATGAGTGCACAAGAATGAGGAAAACACATCTTTCAGTCTCTAGCCCAGACAGGGGGAAGCCAGGGAAGAGGCGAAGGAGGGTCACATGTGTTAGGGCATTTCATCTATAAACAGAGAAAGAAGAGAGTAGAAGGGAAACTACTTAACTGGTCTTAAACGACCAGACAGACCCTTCCAGAGCTCCGGTTTCATTACGTGACAGTTGTTACAGATGCCTGCTGGAGAAGGCGGAGGAGAATGGCAGGAGCGACATCATCTTCTGTGACCCCAAGGAATAATGCCATGTCCCAGTCATTCCACACACTCCATTCTTGCCTGCAGCATCAATTTCTTGTACAAGGTACCCAACAGGTTTCTGCACAGCAATGGAGAGAGTCAAAGAGCCCTAGAGACCCAGGAGAATGAGGAACCAGTTTCTGTGCACCAGCCGGCCAAATTCAGACTGACTGCCATTCTCAGGCCACTTTCCACAGTACTGCCAGCCAGAATATTAGAAGACTGAAGTGGCTTCTCCCCTTTATTACAGACCCCTATCCCAATACAAAGTGGACTAAGTTTACCTGATGTGATCAAAGACCAGCAGCAGAAGTGACTCCTGCCATCCGCCTACTGGTTTTCCCTTTGCTAACCACGCTCACTGCCACACTGTGAGTTCCACTCGCAGAGAGGAGGAGGTCCTCCCCTCCACAGCACAACTTTGCAAGGTCAGTGAGGGACCACATTACTTGTATCCTCCATAGTGCTTAGCAGGTGCAGGCAACCAGCAAGTACTAAATCAGTATCTGTTGACAGATATCTGCCCACTGCCATGCACTGGTCATCTTAAAAGACCACAAGTTAGGGGCGCCTGGGTGGCTCAGTCGGTTAAGCGTCCGACTTCAGATCAGGTCACGATCTCGCGGTCCGTGAGTTCGAGCCCCGTGTCGGGCTCTGGGCTGATGGCTCCGAGCCTGGAGCCTGCTTCCGATTCTGTGTCTCCCTCTCTCTCTGCCCCTTCCCCATTCATGCTCTGTCTCTGTCTCAAAAATAAATAAACGTTAAAAAAAATTTTTAAAAAGACCACAAGTTACAGTATTTTTATCAGATTTGTTTTTATTTGAATGGTTATGATCCTGAATGGGATATAACTTTATTGCCTAGAGTAATAAATTCATAAGTAAAAAAAAAAAAAATGACAATATGACTTTTAAAAGAAATACAAGTCTATTATCTGCGTTATCAATTACAAAAAAATAAATATATAACGTATAAACAGATAACAAATAAAAGTACACTTCTCAGTTTTGACACTTGAGGAGTGCCAGATGGATCAAGAAACAAACACAAAAGGAGGGAAAAAGACACCAGAGAATGACGTAAATGCATGCGAGAATGTGCGTATGCACGCACGCACTCATGTGCGCGCACGCGCACACACACGATAGATTATGGTGCATAATTTCCAACTGTTTTTAAAGTTTTGGCTGCCACATATATAGGCTTTGCAACTATCAGTCAAATTCTGGCTTTCACCAAGTCTGTGACCTTGGGCTCATTCTTCGCTTTCTTAAGCCTCTGATTCCTCAATTCTAAGAGGAGGATCAAAACCGGTCCCTCATAGGGTAGCTCTTTTCAACTCTTTGTTCAACCGCCTCCTGAAGAGGAAGTACTTATGCAAAGTACTTTACCCAATGCCTTCAACACACGGGCTTTTTTATAGTCATAAACTGGCCTATCACCTTTGGGTATATATCTCTTCTTCACATAATTTTATATTTCCAAAGGTGGGGTGTTATATATATTAAATAAGTTACTATTTATATGAATGTTACTACCCACAAAAAGTTAACAAATCAGACACACTGTATTCATGGGCCAGATGAAATAAAAATCGGACCCCTCTTTCCTTAAAGAAAATTGTCTAATATTTGCCCTTTCTACAAAGCTACCCTACTACAGTGAAGAATCTTCCTGGAAACAAAGGCAACACATACCCCTTCTCATGAAAATAATTACCAGTATGACTAACACATACATTGAAGCGTTTGGACCAAAGTATTATCTAGCTAAGCTTTACTAAGTTTTGCCTGATAAGAATCCATCTGGTAAATTTGTTAACACAGATTTACCCACTACCCTCCTGAAACATTCTCCAGGAAGGGGGCCTGAGAATCTCTATTTTAAGTGACAGCTCCAGGCAATTCATAATCAGGCAAGATCAGGATTTTTCTCAGTGTTTAGAAAACTGTAAGGTACACATAACAAATGCAAAACTAAAAAGACCTAAAATCCACACTGGATTTCAATAAAATGTATCTTCGCTTATTAAAAATAAAAGTAAAGTACTTTGCCAGCTACACTTATGGGCAGGGACATTCATTCATTCAATTTGGTATCCCTTCTCCTCATCTTCCCCTTTTTACCTCCACTCTGTACCAAAAGTATGCACCCAATATAGATATTTATTTTCTGAATATCATGTAAACCAAGGAATAAATAAAAATTACAAGGAATCCTATCACAGGCTTCCAACAGAAGTAAACTAAAATTAAAATGGGGTCCTAGAATATTATCAACTCATCTTAGAACACAAAACTGGAAGACTATGACTCAGTTGGGGGAAAAAAGTAACATCTTTACTTTCACTAACCTCTAACTGAAATCTAGCATTACCATCAATTATGAATGTGGGAGAAAAAGTCCTGGTTAATATCTACCTTTACCTCTGTCACTTGTAGCAATCAAAAATACTTCCATATTCCACTATAGTTAGATATTGGTGACCATCCCAAATTTAATATTTTCAGAATATTGTTTATTTCTTGACTTCCTCTATAGGCCTCTGCATTTTATTATATAGTTAAATCATTATTCTGAGAAGCAGCCCAAAGAATTCATTAGACAGCCAAAGGAATTAATGACACAAAAAAGGTTAAGAACAAAAACCTGCATTAGAAGATTATAGAAATTTAACTAAGTAGCAAAGCAAATATCTGGACACATTTTTCTTTTAAT